GAACCACAGGGAGATGATGGACCTGATACATGATCCAGAGGTGAGAGTAGAAAACCCTAAGCAAATGGTAATGAACAAAACATTCAGAAAATAGAGAAATTAGAAGGAGCAGAGTAAAGAATAGAGGAGATAAATCATCAAATGACACAAGTAGATAAAGATGCGGAAGAGACAGTAAAGATGCTTGAAATGGAATAGGAAGATTATTCATCAAGAAGTCAAAATATAGAAAAGGATAGAGAGAAAGATCTCCCAGAAGTAATGAAAGAGTTACTGACAGGTGCTCTAGAGATTTAACAGCAAGAGACAGTTGTGGAGGCAAATGAAAGAATTAGACTAATTATGAGTTATGTAAGAGGGATACAAGATCCCAAGGGAGGAGCATGGGAGATGTGTCAAAAAGTTAATAAGAAATGAAATACTAAAAAGAACAAGAGATGATGGATAGATACAAAATTCCTCTTAATATAGGAATTGCTTTATTAGGGGTTAGAAAAAAGACATAGAAAGTAGAAATTGGGAAAATATTATTATGCATACTGCTATATAATAGAATAATTATAATTACAATGTACATGTAGATGTTAAAAGTTGAAGGATTATTATTATGCATACCTAAACAGTTTGATTATTAGTATTGTGTATAAAGTAGATTGAACCAGACAATACATGTATGTTAAAGAAAAACACCCCATAAATAAAATTATAAAAATATAAATAAATTGGAGAGAGAGGGGGGAGGGGGGGAGAGGGACAGATTGACGATTTGGTGGGCAGACAAATCACCTTCTCCATACGTTAAAGACTTCCTGTTCAGTGTGGATTTTCAAACATTCAGCAATGTGGTCTCCGATCTTGAGTAGGCAACTCCGTGTTTGCTCCAGCTGGTCGTGGTCTGTAAGTCCTCTTTCTGGCTTATCCAGCTGCTTCAGGGACTTCTTAACTGGCCTCATCAGCTCTTTGCACTAGAGAGACAGAAAAAGCAAAGCTCTACATTAATCACACATAAGAAGGAAGGAGGAGGACAGAGAGACCCTGATTGAGGCAACCGTTTGAGGGTAGGGGCCCATTTGAATTTTGGGGAGGGGATCTGTTGTGGCTCCGGCCACAGGCCTTCCCTGTTCACAAGACAAGTCACCATGCTACAGAGAGGATAACTTTTGAGTGGAAGGTTCAGCCTTCTTGCAAAACAGAATCTCCCTTTTCGATCAGCAAATCTATGATTCTCCTGTTTTAGAGATAAACTGGTTTGGGGAAAAAATGATTTTCTATTGAGATAAATATGCCAGGGACCAGTGTTTGGCTTGGTAGCACGTCAGTTGTCTTAACTCAGAAGAGGAAGCAAGCAAGAAAGTGAAGGAATCTGAAGTGCACCAAAAGAAACATCTGGAGCCCACACGATATCCAGCCCCCAAGGAAGCGAAAGCTACCCCAAATTTCAGGATGGGATTTAATGCTTGTCTGGGGAAGCCATAAAATCTTGGAGACTATGCGAGAGATTTCCCATCTTTCTTTAGGATAATTCACTAAGATGAAGCAATGATACTTTTTCTTCGAACCAGAATAACAGGCTATTTTATTATATAGGTAGCCTTTGACTTACAACAGTTCATTTAGAGACCATTCGAAGTTACAACAGCACTGAACAAAGTGACCATTCTTTTCACCCTTATGACCTCTGCAGCATCCCCATGGACATGTGATTTAGGTTCGGATGCTTAGCAGCCAGTTCCTATTTATGATGGTAGCCGTGTCCTGTGGTCATGCAATCCCCTTTAGCGACCGTCTGAGGGAAAGCCAGAGTCACTTAACAACCATGTTACTAATTTAACAACTGCAGTGATTCACTTAACAACTACAGCAAGAAAGGTCGTAAAATGGGAGCAAAATTCACTTAGCTAATTTCCCACTTACCAAACATAAATTCTGAGCTCAATTGTGGTCGTAAGTCTACCTGTTTTTTGTTTCTGACCTGAAGAAAGTCTGAAGTCTTTTCTTGTATCCTTCCCTGCCCCCTTTCTTCTTGTGCTTTTTCAATTTTGCCTTCTTTGACACCCCCCACCCATTCCCTATTTTTTAAATCTTTGGGGATTGGTTAAAGGTATCTTTCATCTTTCCTTGAAACTTCACAAGGAAGAGGTATGCTGATTTGGGAACTAAACAGCTGCTGCTCTCTGAGTCGAAGGGGGATTTTCTAGGGTCAGTGACTAGCCCTCGTTGACTTTTCTCCATTCTGTTCCTAGAGAAGACTCACAATGGTGAAGGTTGCATGGTCTAACTCATCCTCTTCCTCTTCTTCAATGGGGACAGGGTCACTTCCTGCCGTAATGTGGACGGGACCCTGACCCAGCAGTTTCTTCCCTTGGTTTCCGGGTTTGGCCTCGGCGCCTTTGGGCTGTGAAAAGAGAAGAGGAGAAAGCATCCCTCATTAAAAAGCCCAGAATGGAAAGTCACGGACGTGCCAGTAAGAAAATGGAAGGCAGGTAAAAAAAACAACAACCAAGGGTAGTGAGAAACTTGCATTCTGCTGCCTGGAATTTCTAGGTGATTCCAGGTGCCCCTTCAAACAGGGGTCTCCAAGTTTCTGGTAATAAAGTAAAGCTAAAGATTTACTCTGTCCAGTCGTGGCTGACTCTGGGGGATGGTGCTCATACCCCACTTTTTGGCTTAGAGGCAGCATTGTCCGAAAACAATTTCTGTAGTCCTATGGCCAGCCTGGCTATACGCCAAAGGCACATGGAATGCTGTTACTTTCCCACCAAAGGGGTACTTGTTCATCCACTCACATTTGCATGCTTTCGAACTGCTAGGTGGATAGAAGAGCTGAGGCAAATAACGGGAGCTCACCCATTACGTGGAACTCGGGCCTCGAATTTCTTAAATGAGCTTTGCCTCATTTTATGACTTTTCTTGCCACAGCATTTGTTAAGTGAATCGCTGCAGTTTTTAAATGAGTGTAGTTAAGTGAATCCGGCTTCCCCATTGACTTGGGCTTTCAGAAGGTCACAAAATGGGGGAATCGCAACTCCGAGACACTGCAAACGTCATAAACGGGAGTCAGTTGTGAATCAGTCAAGTGTAAATCATATGAACATGGGGATGCTGTAATGGTCATAGAGTGCGAAAAACAGCCATAAGTTCCTTTTTTTCAGTGTTGTTATACCTTGCTAAGTTGCTAAGCGAATTAAATGTAAGTTGGGGATTACCTATACATGTGGCTCTATTTAAAAATTAAAATTAAAAAAACCCCACCCTATTAGTAATTAATACAATTCTTGGTAACAGCAAGATCCTTTTGTCACAGACTATAGCAAAGATTCCAGCAGCTCTCAACAAAATGGCTCCATCAGTCTGGGACTTTTCTGAACTATAGCCCCTGTCTAAGGTGGCACTCCCAAAATGGTAGAGAGGAAATGGCAGACCTTAAATTTTAGTGCGCCATTTTCTCTACCAGGAAGTCCCGGGTCCTCAGTGCTCATGCTTACCTTCTTCTGTCCTTCTACTGACTGGTTGTCTGGAGGCTGCGGAGAAGAGGATTCGTTTCCTGGCTCCTCCTTGATTTTGGGGGGTTTGTTTTCTTTCCGGATTCGGGGCTTTACAACTTTGGCCCTGTCCTAGGACAGAAGAACAGCCCACGAGGGCAAAGATGATCAGAAAACCCTCCTTGCTGGCCCATTTGGTGGACCCTACCTTGATTTGTGCAAACCCTTTCCTGTATAGAGTCACCCACCTCCCTGCAGTATTTCTGGGGCTTTGGAGAGTGACCATCTTTATACCTCAATGGGGTAGTTTTATCCTGGACAGAGATGATACACCAATTGGCCCTCCTGGACTGGTAGCTTCTTCCCAGGAAGCAGTGGGCATCTGTGACAATTGGGGCCTTTGCATGGATTTATGTACCAATTGTGCCCATTTATGGACAGGGAAGCCCCCTTCATGGTCACTCAAGCCCTAGTTGCTTCCCATTTGGACTACTGCAATGTGCTCCACAGTGGGTTGCCCTTGAAGGCAAGCAGAAACTTCAAATGATCCAGGAAGAAGCAACATCCACAGCGCTGGGCACTCCATGGGTCATGCATGCTATACCAATGTTGCACTAGGTTCGCGTGTCTTTCTGGGGTGCAATTCACGTTGTTGCTTATCACCCTGCTGTCTGTGTGTGTATGTGTGTTTGTGTACCAAGATCGGGGAAGGCTGATAAAGGGCCCCTTCCATTTCTTTACTTTAGCCCCTTCCTTCCTGTGTCCATGATTTCTGCCACACTGACTGGAAGCCTGAGTTTTCCATGGGCTAACTTCCCAAATAATACGTAGCATTAATGAAGCCCACTTGAGCAAATTTAGCTTGGTTACGGAACTGACCTCCTCTGTCTTGTTCGGGTTCTCTTTCCTCTTCATGTCTCTTTTGATAAGCTTCATCAGATAATCTACTCGCGCCTGGAGCTGCTTCCCCTGTGGCTTTTTATCTGTCTCAGCTGGTAAAATCTGGGGAAGGGGTGGTGAAGAAGGAAGAAACATAAAAGAGACTTATTTAGAAAGATCCAGCTGGCTTTGTGCCCAAGATAGGATTAGAACTCACAGTCTCCTGGTTTCTAGCTTGGTGCCTTAAGCAGGAGACCAAACCAGCTCTGTGTTTGAAACATGAAGTCAGCACAAAAAACATTGCATGTCAAATGGCAGAACCAGAACTCCCTGCGTCCAATGCCACTGATTCCTTGAAAAACGTCCTTTTTTTCAAGCATTATAATTTGGCTTTGCATCTGTAAAACACTGACCCCACGTGTGAGGTTCCTTGTACCTTTTCAGTGAGGTTCAGTTCTGGGTCTGACTTGATGAGCTCCCAGTTCCCACATCCATGCTCATAAATCCCCCGCAGCAAGGAAGAATCCTCTTCCACTCCCCAGTCTACATCAAAATGGGCAGATTTGACACGGGAGTTCAGACGAAACCTACAAAATTGGAGGAGGGGACAAGGCGAAAGGTGACAAGGGATCCCACGTGAGGCACAGAGGTGAAATTCTCTCTCTTAAACCTCTTCTCACTACCATGATTCCCCCAAAATAAGACCAGGTCTTATATTCATTTTTGCTCCAAAAGACGCACTAGTGCTTATTTTCCAGTTAGATCTTATTTTGGAGGAAATAACAGTACGAAATGTGTCCGGCTGGCTGATGATCTTAACTGGGGCTTATTTTAGGGCTAAGGCTTACATTACAAGCATCCTGAAAAATCATGCTAGGACTTATTTTTCTGGTTGGGTGTTATTTTGGGGAAACACTTTAGCTAACATAAGTTTCACCTCAACTGAGCAAAGGACTGTTTCTTAATTGCTTTAAGAAGGGACCAAATTCATGTGAGAACCAGCTATCGAGACCTAGCTGAAGAAAAGGCAACACAGAGTTGGCCTTGTAGGGAGTCTTCTCTCTCTCTAAGTTATCTTCTCCCTCATGGCTGGCATACTTGTGCCTCTCTTAATGGTTATGCTTACCTTGCCCTCTCCACTGGGTCACTGGGAATGGTCTGATGGAGCATCGCAAACTCCTCCTCATGTTGAATAATTGCTTTCACATTCACCTGGACTCCAGAGATCTTAATTGTGGGCCCCTTTCTCTTCCCTGGTCCTTTACCTGGATAAAAGGAGCCGCACAGTCACAATCAGGTGGGGCGGATTGGGAATCACATTTAAAGTGCATTCAGCACCTGAGATTTTAATATGTTCCTGTTTGGGTGCTGAAGTACCAGCCTGTTGTTGTAGGAGAAGAGCAGGCAGAATTGGGGAGGGTTGGAGTTAAATGTGTTATCAGTTTAGAGTCCTTGCGTGGCCAGAAATCAACCTCTCTTGAATTCTGTTGACCCTTATCAAATGACAATTTAGTAATAAACTTTATTTGACTAGATGTTTGCATATTGACTTCAATAAATCTTATGTGCTGCAACTTAACCTATGGGCCAGATCCTTTGCACCTGACAAAGATTTTGGAAAAGAAGGAGTAGGTTTGGCATCATTTTCTTTCTCACCCCTCCCCAAAGTTGACAAAATTTGTGTATTTTTTTTTAAAAAGGTCACTGTACCCAATTTGAAGGCTTCGCTGTGATTCTATCTTAAGATGTAATCTCTCACTGTCTCTAAATGATTTAGCATCCTCTTTCTTGGATTATCCCAAAGTGCTTTTTCAAGCAGCAACTGGACTTCCAGAAAGTCCAGTTGCCTCTTGAAAAAGCACCCTTAGGACAACCATGACCTGGATGACTGAGAATCTCCAATAGACGTTTTCCTAGGTTAGTTTGAAGGGAAGTGAAAACTTGAAACTGAGAAATCACTGGGGAAGAAGAGCAGTTGAGCAGATACTGAAACAATTATATGAGCATAAACATCATAGTTGCAGAGTTCAGTTCTTCTTAAACATGAATTCTTCATACGGTGCCAACTTTCTTTATGGAGAGGCCCAGGCTCATAACCCTGGATTCTGAGCCAGGTCCCTTGGGTTGACCACCCCCCTTTTCCCATTACAGAAAGCCCCTTTCCTCACTTTCAGTTGGGTTCTCCTTCAGATGCTCTTCGTACTCCTGCATGGCTGAAGCACAACTGTTATGGAGAAGTTCTCCCAAACGTTTCAGATCAGCTACCGATTTCTCTACCAGTTCAGCATCCCGAGCGAGGCATTCCAGTCTAAAAAGGGAGATGGAACGTAATAAAGGTGCTCCATAGCAAATTTTTGACTCTGCCTCCCTCAACGCACCCACAAATCAGATATTATTTTAAAGCACTTCCAGAACTTGGATGGACTAAGAATAGCTACCAGGAAACGATTAAAACAAAAATCACAGAGCGAAACAAATTACAGTTGTAATTTGGTGGACAGCACAAGTCATAGGACCTTGATGGGAAATCACTCCCAAACAGTTAACTATGCATCCCACATATGATGTGCAAACCCACCGGGTGTAGGTCCTGCTTATGCAATTGAAGACCTAACTTATATGCAAGGATGAACAATACTGAGGGATCAGGAGAGGCAACCCTGCCCCCGAACCTCCTAGGGGCTGCAGGAGGCCTCCTGGCAGGTGGTGGTGCCACTAAAAAGCATGAAACTGAACATATGATGACATCGTCCATAACCGATTGCATTCTATGTGCAATGGTGTCATTTTACTTATTTAAATAATCGATAGGGCCGTCCATCCCCTGGAAGCGATTCTGCGCGGGGTGCAACGATTAAAACAAAAATCACAGCGTGAAACCAAAGGCGCCTGAGGTTTGATCATCCCACCAATGCTCTGATGTCATTACAGTTATAATTTGGTGGACTGCATGGTCTATTTGGTCACTCACCGTTCCAAAGGAACAGCAAACTTCTTGTATGCCTTGATAAATCTGTGGAATTTAAACAGGAAGAGTTACAACTGTTAGAGAGGTTTGCTCAAGGCCTGAGTTTCACACACATCCCCCGCTGCTTGTGGTTCTGGTCTCCCTCCTCCCAGATTTAACCCCCTCCAGATGTGCCCCGTGTACAACTCTCAAGTTGCCCAATATTTACAAAGTCAGGTTAAGCCACGGAAGGCTGCAGAAGCTTTCTTACAATATTTTCTTTGCTCTGGACACTCAAGACGACTGGAGTAATCTCCCCTCCTTTCATCCCACCACACCTCTCTGTGAGGTAGGCTGGGCATCCCTCCCACCCTTTCCAGTTCATCTTAGCTCAGGCAAAAGATGAAAAACCAGTCCGGAATTCCCAGGATGTTTCCCTGGATACCAACCTTCTGATTTCAGGGTCTGTAAAGCCTTCCACTGTGTCCTTCCGAACACTGCGAGGGCGTCCTCTGCGTTTGGGCCTTTTGTCATCATCAGAGTCCTCTGTCTCGGTATCTGAGCCCGAAGACCTCTGGAGCTTCCTCTTTATTTCAACATCTGATTCGCTGTCATTGGCCTGAGCCTGTTGGGGCCAGAAAAAGACCAGGCTTAAGAGAGATCCTCTTTGACAGAGGCCATAATCTCCAAATGGTCCTCGACTTATAGTTTGTTTGTTGACCAAAGTTACAAGACCACTGGAAAGGCACTTATGACCGTTTTTCATCCTTATGACCATTGCATCATCCTCTTGGCCATATGATTTATCTTCTGATGGTTGGCAACTGACGGTCGCAGTGTCCCGGGGTCATGTGATTCCCCTTTTGTGACCTTCTGACAAACAGAGTCAATGAGAAAGCCTCCAGGGTCCCTAGGAACATGCTGTGTGTTTCTCAGCACCAGTCAAAGTGTGAATTTACCTGTCACGCCCCTGTCAGAATCAGATTCGGAGCGGAAGGCCGAACAGTTGACAGGGAGTGGGAGTGTGGCTCTGTTGGCTGCGAAGGAAACTGGGGAAGGGCAAAGTCTGGCTTAGCAGAGCAGGGGAGAGGTAGAGCAAGGGAGAGGGAATTCGGAGGAAGATCCAGGCCCACCCCCTCTTCATTCGAGGGCACACAGGGAGGAATGGAGAAGGGAGCAATGCAAGTTGCGTAGCTTACGGGGGAGGAAAGGGCCCCGATTCCCTTCATTAGCTGCAGTGGGAACACAGTGTTTAAAAAGGGAAGCTGTGCACAGCAAGTTGTTGGGAGCAAATAGTGAATTATCAGGTATTGTTGAGGCTTATCTGTGTTCCTGGCATCTTCCCAACTTTGTGTGTTTTGGCTGTGCTTTCAAGTCTGCAATTCCTTCTTCTGCCCTGTCAAGTTAATTACTGCAGCATGGTTTGCTTGGATTTTTAGTTACAGTTTATATGTACTTTGTTTTTGAACTGAATTTCCTCCACTTAAAGACTGTTCCTGGGAGAGTTTTTCTCCAGCCGAAGGTAACCTGGACACTGGTGGCAAAGTTGGAGATAATAAAGGAACCCTTCTTGTTTATTTGACTGTGTTGCCTTTGTGCCACATCCCAGGATACCACATTACCCTTCTGCAAAATTAAGCATCTATTGTATCTCCAGCAGAACCATCTACACCTGAAAGCCCTCCATTGCTATTGTTTTGAAAGGTTTTTTTTTTCCCATGCAGGATGAGGTGTGAGATTCATGTGTGAGGTGCTCCTGTTATGAATCTTACACTAGAAAAATTACCTTTTTGGCTGAGCTGCGAATCCTGGGCAGCATGTATATCTCCTCAAGTTCTTTCTGCCGCTCCTCTTCTTCCACTTTCTTCCTTTGTTCCTCAGGAATGATGCTTTCCCACTCCTTCTGAGATTTCTCTTCCGCCTCGGCTTCTTCCTCTTCTGTTGTAGCAAAGTTTGCTACCTAAGAGGAGAAACATTACTCCCTTTAAAGCGCTGATAATGCCACAAATTCTGAAACCTTTGATGCTCCTTTTCTGGGCCCGTACTTTAAATTGTGAAAGCAGTTCGTCTGTTGCACTTGTGGATGGTTCATTCTCTCGTGTCTCAGCCAGGCGTAAGATTTCCTCAATGTCCATTTCCTAGAAGCAGGGGCAAGAGTGCAGTCAGACACACACCAATATGAAATATTTAATATTGCCTTTCTACAATCCTGATATGGAAATGAATTGAAATCGAGTTAAACCTCTGCCAATTTCAAATGACGTCCCAAGGAGAATCAAGGTCATCTCTACCCAGACATATGGATCAAAAAACTCACTTGTGGTTCAGATTCTTCCCCTTCGGGTTCTTTAAAAAGTTCTTCGGCTCCAAATTTCAAAATGGCGGTCAGTTCCTCCTTGTTGAAGGGGTTTGTCCTAGAAAAAAAACATGAAGCCACTGGCTTAAACAAAGGTTTCCAATTTGCAGGTACTTGGACCATATCTTAGCTCACTTTTCCAGGATCTCAAATAATCTAGATCCTTGTACCTATCCTTTGATAAGAAGTCCCGTCCAACTCCCAATCTCTTTTGAGCTGAAGAAACCAGACAATTTGCCGTTCTGAGTAGCTAAAATTATTCTTTTTGTCTTTGTAAAATCAAACAGTCAATGTTACAAATAAAATGTTTTTCTTTTAAAAAAAAAGACAGTTAGCAACATTAGCATAAAGCATGTATTTAGGTATGAATGACTATGTCTGGCTCATTTTATCTCAAAACAGGACTCGATGCTAAATCACTTGGTGTGTACTGCCTGCTAAGCTGAAGCAAATTCCAGAATCCACTGACAGAGAGGATCTCTTCCCACTGAACAGTTCAGCCCAATTAAGCCTAAATCTTATCGCCTTCTCAGATTAACATTCAAATGGTGCCACATAACAGCCATTTTTGATCAGTGGACCAGAAGTCCCATCGCCTTACTTGGATCTATCAGAGCTGTTGTCCAAAACTGTCCGGCCTGTGGTGTCCATTCGCTGTATCACAAGATGGTCCAGCACCATTTTCTTCTTTGCTCTTTCTATAATCTCCTCTTCCACTGTTCCCTTTGTAACCAAGCGATAGATATTTACCTGCAGAATCCAGGGGATGCGTGAAATAGCTTTAAAGGTAGCTTTTTATCCCTGGTGCAGCCAAGGTGAAGTGCAAAAATCTCTCTTGAATCTGTCCCTAGTTCAATGATTCATCCTGACCTTTTTAAAGGATCGGGAAGGGACAGGTATCAAGGACCAACATGCTGCAAACCATAAGCTACCGGCTTCTAATACCTTACAACAAAAGTAGAAATTATCCCACCAGGATTATTTACCTTTCTGAAGGTAGATGTCTTGTTTTCACCCATGTCTACCAAGGCAGCCCCTTTAGGTGCACTTCCAAATATCTAAGACCAACCCCACCCGACCCCACCACTGCCACCCAACCCCAAATCCCCTCTACCTATATTATTTAACTTTGCTGCCCACTATTTCAAAAAACAACAAAACAAATAACCAGAATTTTCTTAGCCAGCCTATCTAATATAAAAAGGCAGACTCTGAAAATCAGAAATGCTGATCTGGGCCAACTGAGGAAGAGCCACAAATAAAATGTGCCTGCTCCACAATTTGGCCAAATTCAAACTGCTCAATTCCCACAATCCTTAGTAATAAGTGAACCTCAACTGGCAGGGGCTACTCAAGCAGACCAATAGGAAGCCCCCCCTCCCCTAATGGCCTTCATCACTGGGTTACAGGTTCTAAATCCCATTGCTCAGTGAGGTAAGAGTCAACTGACATGGCAGACAACCAATCTGGTCTATGCTCCAGATGTTGGTCTCGAGACCCGCAGATTGGATTTCTAGTCCCGCCTTAGGCATGAAAGCCAGCTGGATGACTTGGGACCAGTCACTCCTTCTCTGCCCAACCAACCTCATGGGGTTGTTGTGGGAAAAACAGGAGGAGTATTAAGTATGTTCACTGCCTGGAGCTAATTATAAAAGCAATAAAGGCAGAATAAAAATGGAATAAATAATCATATTACTTAGCCCTTGTCGCATTCAGGGGACCTGAAAGAATAGGGTAATCTAGTTAACAGCCAGACAGTACCTGCCTGGAAATAAATTTCTCCCCTTGTTTTCTTGTAGCCAGAGAAGACAAAGCAACTGGGAAGGAATCAATTTACAGACTGCTACCCTCTGGCTGTTGACTAAATTTCCCTATTTCTGCCTCCTTTCAGATGCGCTGAGTGTTGGCTCCCAGAATCCCGCATCGCCCTTGCTAGGAACTGAAGTCCACACCATGATCTGCAGAATACCTAAAGGAGGAGAATTGTTTCTCACTAACTTGTTTCTTTTGGCCAATCCGATGAGCCCGAGCCTGAGCCTGTAGGTCATTCTGGGGGTTCCAGTCCGAATCGAAGATCACCACTGTGTCAGCCGACGCCAAGTTGATCCCCAGGCCGCCAGCACGTGTGGAGAGTAGAAAGCAGAAGTCCTAAGGACGTGCAATGAAGGGAAACACACATTTAGGTCTGTGTTTGAATAGGCCCAGGAGGAGAGTCAGCAAAGGACCAGCCAGGTTGGGGGCATAATGGCAGCAGGGCATCACAAGCAGATGGAGACGTGTAGGGTAATACCAAAGTTCTTCTACACCAGTTACAGGTCGTCCTCAACTTACAAACATCCACTTATTGACCATTCAAAGTTACAACTGCACTGAAAAAAAAGGTGGATCATGACCCTTTTTCACACTTATGACCATTGCAGCATCCGCTCGGTCATGTGATTTACATTTGGATGCTTGGCAACTGCTTCATATTTATGACGGTTGCTGTGCCGCAAGGTCATTTGAACCCTTTTTGTGATCATCTGACAAGCAAAGCCAGATTCACGAGTTACTAATTTAACAACGGAAGTGATTCACTTAGCAAACATAGCAAGAAAGGTGGCAAAATGGGGGCAAACCTCACTTAACAGCCTCGTAAATTTCGGGCTCAGTTGTGGTCACGAGTTGAGAACTACCTGTAGTAGTTTACTGACAGAGCACAGAGCAGGGGAGCCTGTTCTCTTGGTCCTATCCCAAACATTACATTAAAAGAGTTGGTAAGAAGAGGCTTCCTCAGAAACATGTCGCTGTTATGCAACGCCTCTAAAGATAATCCTCAACTTAAAACCACAATCGGGGAGGAGTTTTTACTCTCCCTAATAGGGTAGCCAGAAGAAGTGTCAACAAAGCTCAAAACATGGCCAAGATATGCTGGCTAAGCAAACCATGTTTCCATTGCGGCGAGAAGCGGAGAGTCCACTCCTGTGACCTACAGCTGGTCCTTCAGCAACTCTTGAGTGCAAACTAAACTTTTCCTTCCTCTGTCCAGTTATGCCAGCCTCCTCCAAGACTCTTCCTATCTCCAGGCCTTTGCCAACAGAAACACGACCGGCATCTTCCTTCACTCCCACCAAGGAAGCACCCATCGCTACGCCTTGTAACCCCCGTCCCAGGCAGCCCCTGCCCCTCCTCCCCACCTGTGTACCCATACCTGGCTCCAGCCTTACCTCCGAGCCTTCGGCGTTGAAATGATCCAGAGCCTGCTTCCGGATTTCTCCTTTGATAGAACCGTCCAGGCGCTGCAGAAAACAACAGCGAAGAGGTCAGGGGATTTCCAGAGCAAACCTCCCCTCCAACCCGCTCCAGCTGCCCCCAGGTCTCCTGCAGAAACTCCAATCTCCTCCGATGGTTTTCCCCTTCGGCTTAGAGCAAGACAACAGTCTAAAAATAACCACGATTAAAAATAACTCGGGCTGTTCCTGCTGCTGGGAATGGGGGCCAGGAGGCAGAAAGACCTCAAGGTCCTGCAGCTAAGAGGGTTTATGGAGGGGAGGAAAAAAAGAAAGGAGACAAACAGAGATCAGGGGAAAGTGAGCCACTCCAAGAAGTCTGCTTCCCCGGGGTCTGGATTAAACGGAGTCTTAAAACGGATTACATCCTACGATTTAAGGGCTGAACGATATGTAGGTTAATACAGGGAGTCGTTGACTTACAGTCACATCTGAGCCCAGCATTTCTCTGGTTGAAGCGAGTTTTACATTTGCTACGTGAGTTCTGCCCCATTTTACGAGCTCTCTTGCCAGAGTTGTTAAACGAATCACTGCTGTTGGCAGCAAGTTTTTTTTTTTAAATGAATCTGGCTTCCCTGTTGACTTTGCTTGTCAGAAGGTTGTAAAAAGGGGATCACATGATCCCGGGACACTCGGCAACTGTCATAACTATGAGACTGTTGCCAAGCCTCTGAATTTTAATTATGTGACCACGGGGATCCTACAAGGCCCATAAGTGTGAACAATGGTTGTAAGTCACTTTTTTTCAGTGATGCAACTTTGGTCGCTAAATGAATTGCTGTAAGTCGAGGACCTCCTGTATTATTTGAAGCTTTTTATTTGAAGTTACAGTTCCTTTGAATGTACTGTTTTATCACTGTTGCATCATTTTGATCTTTATTAAATCTCGCTATTAGTAAAGCACTGTGTAGTGGTATATAAGTCTAAGTGGTACTGATATTATTTTTGGCTTTTCCTCCTTTTTCTAAAAACTATTCCTGTTTTTGTGTTCTGCTTTTCTTCTAATTAATTAAAAGCAATAATAAAAAAAGGAGTCCCTGTGGATTTTATTCCGCCAGTTGTTGCCAACTAAAGGGACCTGTACTCATCTCCGTTTCAAGGCCCTTGAGCCAGCGCTGTCCGAAGACATTCCCGCAGTCATGTGGCCAGCATGATGTCACAGAGTGCTACTTCCCACTGAAATGGTACCTATTTATCTACTTGCATTTGCATGCTTTAGAACTGCTAGGCTGGCAGGAGCTGGGGCAACGATCACTAAAATTAAAAGCAATAAAAACAACTAAAACAACCTTTCTTGTTAGGCAGAAAATAAAAACCTTCCCATCTGGTATCTTCCAACGCCTCGCAAGGGAGAATAGAAAGTAGAACCCTTGCCCCTTATAGCCAAGTTCCTCCAGAAAGGCTGCAAGATTCAATTATCTGCAAACATCCCCTTTAAAGTTGGTCTTTATTCTTCGTCCACCATAAGGCAAAATACACTTGAGAGCCTCTTGCTGCCCCATCACCATATCTAGCTGTCTGTCTGTCTATCTATCCATTCATATGTCTGTCCATCCATCCATCCTCCCATCCATCCAGTCTACCTATATATCTATGTATCATCTCTCTCTCTCTCTCTCTCTCTCTCTCTCTCTCTCTCCATCCCTCCATTCATGTGTCTGTCCATCCATGCATCCATCCATCCAGTCTGTCTGTCTGCCTACTACTACTGCCTCTCTCTCACTCCCTCCCTCCCTCCTTCCCTCTCTCTCTCTGTCTCTCTCTCTCTAACTATCTCCATCCATCCATCCATCCATCCACCCATTTTTCTATCATCCAATTCCTGGGCTTCACCTGGAAAGGGTAGTGCTTGATGGTCAGATATTCCGCCAAGATGTCCAACATTCTCACCATCTGGGAGAAGATGAGGACTCGGTTGCCCCTCGCACGGAGCCTGCTGAGCAGTTTGTCCAGAAGGATGAGTTTCCCACTGCTCCTGATTAAAGACTAAGAAGACAAGATTGAGCATGAAGTGGTAGTTCCAAATCTGATGGAGCAAAGTTGACCGAGCAACTCAGCATCACGATGGTCTTAGTAGAATTAACAGAAGTAACAATGAAAATGAACACAAAGAGGTTCTAATTCTTGTTGTTCTAATTCTAATTCCTTGTTCTAATTCTCCTTGCCCATGAGCTCGGTAGATTAACTTAGGCAACTTATATCTGTTTCCTGGCAGTAACAAATTTTTATAGACCATCTTCCACAATCTACCCCTCTGCCCTCCAAATGAGTAGTTCTGTTGGTTGGAGAGACCAGAAGTCCTACTTCAATATATTCGATATGTTCAGGTAAGAAAAAGTTGACTTTCAGGCTAGATCTCAGGCTTTCAGGCTAGATTCCTGTGAGATCACCAGAAGCCTTTGATATATTTGGGAGCCTTATACAACGCATCAGAGCTTTTTAATCTATTCCTCAATTTTACAATTCTTCTCCAGAGCATCATGCTTAGCCGTACAACCAACTAACAATATTATGGGTTCCATCTCTGACTAAATCCTTAATTTCTTCATTAAGATTCAGGCTTTAGCCATACGTGAGAAAAGATCCACAAAACGGTCTCAAAATAGCAGCAGGAAGTTTGCAAGATTCAGACCTGCCAGGGTGTTGCAAGTGTAGCTTTACAATAAAGTAGAATTAGCTCATCTAGTTGAGTTTCCTGTCTGATTTATCTGGGAAGGGCTGACGTTACCAGAAGTCTTCCCGCAAGGTCTACCCACCTGCAGCCTCTCCTGGCTGTTTTCCCTCTCATTCTCTTCTGGAGGTTTGATCAGGTAACAGTGATTGCAACATTTCTTCAGCTCCATCACGATGTTCAGGAAGCCAGAAGTGCTGCCACGTGTTCCCTTGGACAGGGCTTTGTAATTCCTTGTTAAAATCCATCTGAAGGGTTAGCAGGTGACAAGCATCAGTTTTTCAGCCCCTTTAGTGGCTTCAAGAAAGCAAGCCAGCACATACAGAAAACAGAATAACAGAGCTGGGAGTGACCTTGGAGGTGTTCTAGTCCAGTTGGTCGCCAACCAGTGGGCCAGGGACTACTGGCGGTCCGCGAGAAAATTTTGGTGGTCTGCAGAGAAATGTCACCCTCAAAGCACCTCCCAAAGCAATCAATTCAGGCTGCGAGGGAACACAAGGCTGCACTGCTCACATGGCTTGCAGGAACACAAGGCTTGTGTCGCTTGCCTTGTGAACAACACAAGGTAGTGAGGGGGGGAACTTGCCCCACGCGCCTGGCCTGGCCACTGGGCTGCTTCTTTCCGCTTCTTCTCCTTCTTTCTTGGCTGCATGCATGGAAAGCAGCCAAAGTCTTTCTTTCTCCCTCCCCCCCCAAACTCTGCGAGAAATGAGTCTTTGGGACCCTGCGAGGCCTCCTGCTCCAAGAGGCTGCGCTGGCATGACAAGTCTCACAAAGATTCATTGCTGCAGGAATTTGGGGGAGAGAAAGACAGACTTCTGCTGCTTCTCCTTTCCTTGCATGAAGCCAAAAATATCTCCCCCACCCCCCGAGAACGGAGCTGGAGGCGGTATCCTGCGGTCCCAAATAAAGAATGATCGGTTGGTAGGAAAACGGGGTGGAGAATTTTCCTACAGATTTGGGGGATTTTCCCAGGGTCTCTGGTCCACGGGATTTAAAATTATAAGTTTGATGGCCCCTGAGGTCCAAAAGGTTGGCCAACCTCCTGCTCAAACAGGGGACCCTATACAGGTAGTCCTCAAGTTACAACAGTTCATTTAGTGACCGTTTGAAGTTACGACGATACTAAAAAAAGTAATTTATGACTGTTTTTCACACTTATGATCGTTACAGTATCCCTGTGGTTAAAATTCAGATGTTTGGTAACTGGCCTGTATTTATGATGGTTGCGGTGTCCCTAGGTCATGTAGTTACCTTTTGTGACCTTCTGACAAGCGAAGTCAATGGAGATTCACTTAACAATTGGGTTACTAAGTAATCGACTGCAGTGATTCACTTAATAACTTGAGGCAATAAAGGTAGTAAAATGGGGGCAAAATTCATTTAACACCTGTTTCGCTTAGCAACTGAAATGTTGGGCTCCATTGTGGTCCTAAGTCCAGGACTACCTGTACCATTCTGGAAAAACAGCTGTCCATTTTAAGACATTGTGTTCATTGACTGTACTCGCTCAATCAGCCTTCGTTTTTAATTTATGTATGTTTATGGGGAGGCGAGGGGAGAACTTCAATTATCACCCCACAAGGGGCCTTGTTGTGTGACTCGTGATGGCCAATTCAAACGAAATCCAGCTCAGAATGGCAGGCGCATGCGGGGTTGCTACAGGGGACTTCCCAAAGTCTCCAATGTTGCATTTAGACCAGGGAAGAGGATAACTTGGAATCTGATTGACTGGAGACCAGTAGACGGATGTTGGGCAACCTCTTCCTGTGTGCAGGAAATCCAAGCACCATTCTAGTTTGACTTCCTTCCTGAGAAAAGTTATCTTGTGGTACCCATGCTGAGTATTTCTGCCCCACCGCCAGAAGAACCCTTACTTGTAATACTGCTTCTGGAGGGCAGACATCTCCACCCTCAGGATCTGCTCTACTTTGGCTGGGAGGGATTTTTCCACGTCCTTCTTCACCCTGCGCAGGAGAAAGGGCTCCAGGACCTTATGCAGGCTCTGGTACCCGTTCTCTCGTCCTTTGCCATGGTCCTCTTCAAAGTCTTCCCAGGATTCGAACCTGACAGACACAGCCAAGACAAGGAGGTGGGGAGAGAGAGGGGGGGGGAGGGAGGAAGAAAGAGAGAGGAAGGGGGAGAGAGAGAGAGAGAGAAAGAATGAGAAACACTCAGGCCCACCTCCAAAGCCAATTTTGCAGATTCAAAAAGGGCCTTATCTAAGGGCATTATCTAGTCCATTCTTCCTTTCTACTGGCAAGGTAGGCACAAGCATACAGGCAGCCTGTTTTATTTCTATGGAGATTCTCAGTCATCCAGGTCAGGGCTGTCCCAAAAGTGTTTTTTTCAAAAGGCAACTGGACTTTATTACCTTTTGAAAAAGCACCTTTGGGGCCTCATGCATATCCCTGTTTAATTTTCACATAGGTGGCAGCCCAGTTCCTTAAGAGACTCCGGGAAGCATTTGGACATTAAAAAGAGGAAAATTATAAAAAAAATATAATTATAAAAAATAAAACAAGAAAAAAACATTGTATTTTCAGAAGAGAGACAATAAAACTAACAAAATTCTACAAGGGAATCCTACACATTTTATTAAAAGCTTTCACCAACTGCATAATGCTTCTGTGAATGCTTCTGTTATCTAATCAAATTTATTATTGAAAAAAGTGCTCTCAGATTCCTGGCTCTTTTTTTTTTTTTGCCACAATAGATTAACAGATACAGAACTTTTTTAAGAAATAAGTTTGTATTAGGCTTGCATTGATAATTTTGTACAATAACTTGGGCTTCTAAATACATCTTGCTCTAAAGGCCACTTTAAGTTTTGACTTTCATTTACTTTCGCAATCGCCCCCTGTTGTGGCTAAAGAGCTACTTCCCAACTCAACTTACTTCTCTGGCATGATGAATTGCAGCAGGGACCACAGTTCCTTCAGGGAATTCTGAAGGGGTGTCCCAGTGATGAGCAGGCGGTGGTTGGACTTGAAGTCGATCAGTGTCTTGTAGAGCAAAGAATCGTCATTCTTCAAGCGGTGGGCTTCATCCACTCCTAGGAAGGCCCAGTTGATGCTTCCCAAAACGGCCTACAGAAGAAAAACTAGATGGGGCACACAGCAATAACACAGAACCATTTTAGGGAAGTCCTTTTACATCTGCTCTGGAAAACTTACACCTGTGTCCCATGCGTGACAGGTTGCCACATACAGAATAACAGAGTTGGGAGGGGTCTTGGGGGCCTTCCAGCTCAAGCAAGAGATTCTATACCACTGGGGACACATGGCTGTCCAGCCTCTTTTTAAAAACCTCCAGGGTTGGAGCACCCACAACTTCTGGAAGCAAGCCATTCCACTGGTTAATTGTTCACACTGTCAGGAAGTTTCTGCTTAGTTCTAGGCTGTTTCTCTCCTCGGTTTATTTCCATCTGTTGCTTCTGGTCCTGCCTTCTGGTACTTTGGAAAATAGGTTGATCCCGCTCTTCTTTGTGGCAACCCCTCAAACACTGCTATCATCTCTCCCCTACTCCTTCTTTTCACTAAACTAGACAAGAATACCCTACCTCCAGATATTTCCCATCAAGAAGCGGCATAGAAGGAGGAGCATCCCAAATGTGAACCCAACATGGCCGCTTACTGCTTCACAAAGTTTTTAGTGAAGAAGTTATGCGGAAATATTCCTTCCTATATCAAGGATATAGAAAATTCAGCCGCCTCCCCCTAAAGGTCTGTGGTTCCCAATCTCCACTACCACTCTGTCTACATAACAGTCCTTGGAATAAGTGTTGAAGACAGACCCACGTCTTCCCATGAAGTACAGTTGGACAACACACTAAAGTGTGGGGCAGAATTAAAGCAGGTTGAAGATAGCTTAGAAAGCAAAAGGTGGTCAAACACCTTAAGAGCAAATACGATGCAGACATTGCTCATATTAGTTCTTTGAATTCATGGTATTTTGATCACAGTCCTTTCGCACCTTAACGCTCCCAAAAACATTCCTGGGTAGCAGAATACTGGAAGAAGAAAGTCCCACAAAGGAATGGATGAGTTCTCCAGAAGCAGCTCATCCAATATGAGAATCTTAGGACTTTCTGAAGGGAAAGGAAGGACTTTCCCAAATCGTCACCTCCAATAGTAGCCATCCTTTCAGAGGCAAAATAGCTAGGGCAGACAAAGGAAAGAAGATGGCAAAGGTTCCTCTTTCCTCCAAGTAGAAACTGCCTCGGCCCATCACTCACCTTGTCTTTCAGGAGGATCTCATAGGTTGTAATCAGCACGTTGAACTTCAACCGTTTGGTCTGAGAATGGACCCACTCATACTCACGGATCTGAAGTAAAATGAATAAATAAATGGGTTGGTTTGGCAATTTGAAGATATGTGGATTCCATCCCCCCAAATTTCCCCAGCCAGCAGATGATGCCACCTACTCATCCAACAGCTCTTTTTTTATGCAAAAGCCTGTCTCTAGGCCAAAGTGAAATTTGATTTTAGTTCAGCAATAGCGCTTAGACTTATATGCCGCTCCATAGTGCTTTTACAGCCCTCTCTAAGCGGGTTACAGAGTCAGCCTTTTGCCCCCAACAATCTGGGTCCTCATTTTACCGACCTCGGAAGGATGGAAGTCAACTTTGAGCCCGTCAGGATCGAACTCCTGGCAGTCGGCAGAATTAGCCTGCAATACTGCATCCTAACACCGCGCCACAATGGCTCTTATCCTGTCCTGGGAAAGCTGTCAGCTATAATCTATTCAACAGGGTTAAACAAATAATGGATCTAAGCATCCAGGCAAATTTGGGCACGGTTCTGCATGCCAGCTACCCAACACATGAGAAGATGGCCTCTAGGCTGCTGAAGCATTTCCATGCCCAATGCTCAGATAAACCTAACTAATTGTTTATATTTCTCTTCTCTTTTATCTTCCAGGTGTTCTCTTTCTTCTAGGGGGGCAGCATGTCAGGTCCCCATAGATCCCCAACGGGATGCTGCCATTCTGGTAGGGAAGGCCTGAATGCCAGTTTACAACTTTTTCCTATTTCCGGTCCTTCCTTTACTTTGAGGTACCTTCCTGGGAATGTGAGGGGGGAGGGAATAGCCTGTGGCCATCTTGTCTCAGCTCCGAGGAACCCAGCAAATGGCGTCTGAGAACAGCTTATCACCTTCTCAGCTTGAGGTTCTCATAACAACATTGCACCTCTGGATTGGCTCGCCTCTGGACTGGACAAAGGAGGGGTTTCTACAACTTTTAACCTAACAGTTTTGAGCGGGAATTTCAGATCATGCCTTGCTTTTCTTACTATCACTGTCTCCCAATAATGGCACTTTCATTTCTGTGTCGTACACCCTGTAGCTCACCCCACAGAGCTGTAGAAAAAGAGAAATGTGTTGTCTTAGTCCCATTCAACCCCTTCCTCGACGCTAGTTTACGCACAGCATTCCTGCTCAGCTGATCTCCAATGTACACAACCACGTTGACCTCAGGGGCCCAGATCTCAAACTCCCTCTGCCATGAGGTTAGGGTTGACAAAGGCACCACAATCAGAAAGGGGCCATAGAGCTGGTGCTGATAGAAGAGGTAGCAGAGGAAAGAAATGGTCTGGATGGTCTTCCCCAAGCCCATCTCGTCCGCCAGGATGACACTGTTGTTCCTGAGGAAGCAGACAAGGAAAGGGGTCAAGCCAGCATAGTCATGTCAATGAGCTCCCTTTTTCCTTCTCCCTTTCAATTCTGGAGAACATCTGGAGGCAGACAGATATTCCCCAATGCCTTCCATTGAGGATCTGTTTGCTGCGTGAACCAGAAAGAGGGTTGAGAAAATATTTACAGACCCCTTGACATCCTGGACATAAACTATTTCAACTTCTCCCCTCAGGACACCGCTGTAGAGCATTGCATGCCAAAACAACCAGACATAAAGATAGGTTTTTTTCCCCTTCTTGTGCCATCACTCTCCTGAAAATTCCCCTCAACACTGTCTCACTTCTCATCTTTTCTCATCTTCTTATCTTTCCTACTATCTTCTCCTATTGGTTTCTTATGATTTATCAATTGTTGTTTGTAATTTGTGATTAATGATTGTAATTATGATTTATAACCTAGGACCTATTATTTGCTGTTTATATGAACACAGTGAACTAATGCACCAGAGACAAATTCCTTGTGTGTGCAATCACATTTGGCCAATAAAAAAAACTATTCTACTCTATCCCATCCTATTCCATTTCCTATTCTTATTTCTATCCTATTCTAATTCTATGCTACTCTACTCTACTCTACTCTACTCTACTCTACTCTACTCTACTCTACTCTACTCTACTCTACTCTCAGTCTTTCTTGTCATTAGGACCTAAAAAATCATTTTTTGTTTTTGTTTCTGTGTCCGTTTATTTTGAGAGCCAGGAAAGTCTACGAAGAAGTCTGGCTGCCAACAGTTGCTAGTTCATTTAGTTCATGCTGTCACGTCATCCAGGGTGCACCACGAGGAGGTAAACTACATTCACACAATTCTGAAAAGGATTTGCACCTCACACAGTGCCTGCCAGGACTCATTGCATAGATGGGGCTCTGTATCCTCCCCTTCGTGTGACTGGGGAGTCCCACACCAAACTGTAGGTTGCATCATGATCAGCGGTAAACTGAGGGCATATATCATTCCAGTATCTGATTTGTTTTCATATAAATGATGCTGCACTTCAATGGTTAGATGGCGTAGAGAAGACATTGATATCCGAATATAGACATTTTTAGTATTTATATTATATTGTGTTTTATTAACCTAGTTGCCCCCCAAAAGTTGCAGGCACTCCAGTATTAAAGGTTTTACAAGAATAGATTGAACAACCATTTGTCTGAAATGGTACAGGGTTTTCCTGCCTGAGCAAAGGGATGGACTAGAAGACCTTCAAGGTCCCTTCCAACTAGGTGAAATGTTCATATATGTTGCAAATCCATGGATGATATGCCATATTGTAAATATAGAAATAACCATTTGTACCCATCGGTAAGAGACACTGCTTCAGATCATCAAAAATCTCTTTCAGGACTATGTTTTTTGAATCAGGGATAAGAAGCACCTGCCCTCAACTTACTTGCACCAAGAATGAGCCAACCAATTCAAGCCCTCCAGCTGATAGTCGCGGAGTTCCAGATTCTCCCCACCAATGTAGGAAGGTTGGTTCTTCAAGGCCACAAAACGAGGCCTTTGCTTCAGCACCTAAGAGGAAGACATCCGTCAGTCTCCCAGCTTCACAGGCCTGCTGCTCTGGAGAATTACAGCTGGCCCTCAATTTATGATCACAATTTTGAGCCACAGTGCCATTGTAACTTCAAACAGTCACTAAGTGAAGTGTTGTAAATCAACAGCTGCATGCAACCGACCTGTATTATCTGATTGCATTCTTTTAAGGAGACTGAGACATGCTTCTATATGGTCACTATATGATTGCTACAATAAGAAGTCTAAAAGTGGCCCAGGACTTTTGCACAGTATTGTAAACCTTGTAAATATACAACACATGGCCAAACTACCCCATCTTTAATTTGCAAGAACATAGAACTTTATGATATGGAGGAAGGGAGGGAAAATCTGCAAATGGAAGCTAATTTTCCTTCTAAAACGCACAATATTTATTTTAATGGAGTAAGGTCCTGAATTTAAAAGAATCTCTCTCCAGCATGGAAAATAGGGCACAAAAACACTGATCTGCCTTCATGACTTGATGTCAGAACACTATTTCAAAGATAAATCATCTAGGAGGGAGAAAAAACCCTTAATTTGCATTCAGTACAGCTTTGTTGTTGTTTTTTCAATCATGCAGCTGCTATATGCCTCAATTGCTGTGAACTTTGTATTTTGGGGAAGCAGCGCCACCCCCTGACCAAGAGGAGAATATAAGTAATGGGAAAACTAGTTCTTTTCCCTTGTGCCCTGACTCTGCTAAACACCTAATTCTCACAGGGTGGTCTAATGGATTTATTCAAGTAGTATGGCGGTAGTATTATTATTTATCCTTCTTAATATCTTCTTATGCTTTCCAGTTATTATGATGTTGATGATTCTGTTGCTTTGAATGTACACCAAGTGTTTCTGCAACGGAGACAAATTCCTCGTGTGTCTAATCACACTTGGCTAAATAAACAATTCAATTCACTTTACATAGAGGCCAAAATGAGAAGAGCAATCTAAGGGGTTGCCATCAAGAAGAGGGAGTCAACTTATTCTCCAAACCACCTGAAAGCAAGACAAGAAACGATGGGTGGAAACTAAGCAGGGAGAGAACCAACTTAGAAGTAAGTAGAAATATCCTTAGCAGTTACAATAATTAATCAGTGGAACAGCCTGCCTCCAGAAGTTGTCAATGCTCCAAGACTGGAGGTTTTAAAGAAGAAATTGGATAACCATTTGTCTGAAATGCTATAGGGCTTCCTGCCTAAGTGGGGGGGGGGGGTTGGACTAGAAGACCTCCAAGGTCCCTTCCAACTCTGTTTTTTCCATTAGACTAACCTTGCAGTCCCGAGTAGGCATGGCTTTGGAGTTGTTCCTATTGTTGAAGCTATCAATACAGTACTGGAATTTTTTGCTGATCAGAGCTTCATCTTCCCAGCTACATTCTGCGTAGGGAAGTCCCATCCACTTGCAAAGGTACTCTGGCTCATTAGAGGAGGACTTGCGGTTGTGAACTGCAAATATTGGGGCAGGGGGAAGAGTGGGGAGGGATGAAGAAGTACATGATAAGAGCCCAGCCATATCCTTAATGGGCATGACGGAAATATCCTACCCATGGATACTTGAGTAAAATACTTGACTGAGTATTGCAATCAGACATCTCTATCAATCCATATAATTAAACAAACCATGTAAATCAATAAAACGAGTCACCTTACCTAGAAATTCGGTTCCAGGATTTGGCGATTTGTTTGTTTTCACCGCTGCGCATGAAACGAGAAAACAACACCCATAACTGTAATGATTAAATTAATTATTTAATCAATATGTTGCTTTTATTATATTTTTTGTATAACAATTCAAGGCGGCAAACCTATCTAATGCTTCTTCTTCCATCCTATTTTCCCCACGAAAATAACCCTGAAAGGGGAGATCGACTGGGTCAGGTCTGCCATCTTCAGCTTGGCACCTTGCTGGCATCCTGCCATTAAAGGCTAGGGGGGAGGTGAGGGACATGGGAGGGGGAACAAAGGGGCAGTCTGTCAACCCTGAAGTGGATCTGGCTGAGGCCATCTTGGAGGCTTCAGGGTTGCCACACAACAGAGTGAGGGGAGAAATAGTTAGATGGGGTTATGTAGCCACGCAATAAAGCCTTCCTGTGGGAACCAAGGACATTCTCACAGGTGGATGGCCAGAGAAATAGGGAAGTAACCAAGCAACCAGCCAGCACCAACGACCAGTGACTTGGGGGAAAGGGGAAACTTTTAATTAAGTGAAAGCCGCAGGAACTTTGCTTTCACCAGTTGTGCCAATATGATGTATCCAATAAAATTGCTCTCTGAGGACTTTGCCTGCCTGAGAGCCCTGCTTTCTATGGGTGCATTGCTTGGAATTCAGACACAATCAACCAACAGGTGTACGTGATGGGGAATTGGGAAATGGGAATGAGAGCTCCATGAAGAGCAGGAGAGCTCGGAACCAGTTGGTGCCAGCACCCAAGGCCGTGTACCCTGAGAAAGAATGGGATTTACCCTAAAACATTTCAGCGTTCTCAAAACAAAACTCAAAAGTTTTGATGCAATTGGTTGTAAAAGGAACACAAAAAAAGACATGACAATTCCTGAGTGCTTTTTGTAAAGATATGAATAAGGAAAGGTGTTTTCAGGAAGCATGCATTAAGCATATCTTTTTAAATGTAACTAAATCTTAGCTATCTCTGGAACAAATTTAGGCCTTTTGCCTAAATTAGATAAACTGCCTTGGGTTAATCTTTAGCACTGGATACTCTCATTGCCAGGTGTCTTATTAAGCTGCTGGCCTGGGTTTATGGGAATTGTAGTCCTAACGGATCTCAGTAGACAGTCAAAACTGTTTCTTCTCAGAACTTGTAAAGTTTTGACCACATATCCTGACGTGGAAGACTACAACTCTCACAATATTTGGGAGTTGCCAATACCTAGCAAGCTCTCTGCATCCCTGGAGCTAATCTTGTTAAGCCAGTTTTTTAAGAGAGAAGGGAATGTGCTGCAGAGCAAATTACAAGTTTTAATGTGTTTTCAAGAATGGCTCTGGGCCCCGAGGTGTTCTTAGAAAATTACAAGCGGTGGCTGGTCTTTTCTTAAAAGTGCAGTCAGCTGCCCAGGAAACCCAAAAATAGCAGCAGGAAAACCAGCACAAGTGGCAGATGCCATCGGGCAAGGTGGATGCATCCTGTTATTATGCAAACAATGCTCAGATGTCATGATACAAGCACACAACTGCATTGGTTGCTTGTTGTGGTGGTTTGTTCTGGGTGCCCATCTCTCCAGGTGAATGGCCAGGGCTGGAACCACACATTGTAAGTGCCACATTACAATTAGTCTACCAAACTTCCAGGGTGGCCCCTTTTTTATAATCCTCAATATGCCCACAATGCCAACAAGATTGCCTACAGGCAGTTCTTGACTTCTGACCACAACTGAGCTTCAAATTTACATTGATAAGCAAGACAGGTGTTAATTGAATTCATTTTACAAGCTTTCTTGCCATAGGTGTAAAGTGAATCACTGCAGAATATAGCCGTTAAGTGAATCTGGCTTCCCCGTTGACTTTGCTGGTCAGAAGGTCACAAAGTGCCACGTGACCCTGGGACGCTGCAACCATGATAAATATGACTCAGTGAAAGGTTGTAAGTCAAGGACTCCCTTTCTGGGGGTTTTTTTCTCCTGCTTTCATTCATTCTCGAAAAAAAAAAAATCTTTCAAAAGTTTTGGCCACCACAATGTAAAAAAGATGTTGAGATTCTGGATAGAGTGCAGAGAAGAGCAGCAAGGATGATTAGAGGACTGAAGACTAAAACATATGAAGAAAGGTTGCAGGAACTGGATATGTCCAGTCTGATGAAAAGAAAGACTAGAGGAGACAGGATAGCAGTGATCCAATATCTCAGGGGCTGCCACAAAGAAGAGGGAGTCAAGCTATTCTCCAAAGCACCAGAGGTCAGGACAAGAAGCAATGGATGGAAACTAATCAAGGAGAAAAGAACTAAGGAGAAATTTCCTGACAGTTAGAACAATTAATCAGTGGAACAACTTGCCTCCAGAGGCTGTGAATGCTCCAACACTGAAAGTTTTTTAAAAGATGTTGGATAACCATTTGTCTGAAGTGGTGTAGGGTCTCCTGCCTAGGCAGGGGGTTGAACTAGAAGACCTCCAAGGTCCCTTCCAACTCTTATTCTATTCTAAAAGAAAATCCCATCAGCTTCAGAAGCCTTAAACGCCCTTTGTTTTCAGCCATACAAGACATGCCTTCCCAAAATATAGATGAAGGGGCCGTGGCTGTCGTTCTGCTAAGCTACGCATCGCAAGCTGACAGCCTGACTTTAATAATGGGGGGAGGGGGCAGTGCAGGAAGAGAATCAGGAAGGGAATCAGGAGGAATCAAAACCAAGCCTTCCTGTGGGAAGCACCAGCCATCTTAAGGTTGCACTAAAAGAATGCGGACAGGCTCCGTTTCCCAAACAATCTGTTAATACTTAATTGGACAATGACTGATAATAGCGATAGCACTTATATACTGCTTTACAGGGCTTTACATCCCTCTCTAAGCGGTTTACAGAGTCAGCCTATTGCCCCCAACACTCTGGGTCCTCATTTTACCCACCTCAGAAGGATGGAAAGCTGAGTCAACCTTGAGCCTGGTGAGATTCGATCTGCCAAATGGCAGGTAGCCGGCTACAGCAGAGGTAGCTTGCGGTACTGCACTCTAACCACTGCGCCACCAAGGCTCTTAAGCAGGGGGTTGGCCAGGAACCAGGGAAAGTTAACTATATTTTTTTGCGCATGGAAATCTCAGATCCAGCTTTGCCTCTTCCGTAACCACTTACGGCTTTTTAGTCAAGTATATTTTGGCTAATCGGGGGCCAGGAGTCTTTCTTTTCCATTGACCAAGTTGGGAAGGTTGACAGAAGGGTTCAGCCAGAAACATGTGGGATGTGTTTCTGCTTCAGCCCCGATGGCCCGATTCTTTTTTGACCCCAAACTCACCAATCACTCTTTCCACAATCTGGTACTGTTTGTTCAACTCAGCTGCCAGTTCCTGTTGGCAGTTGAAATACTCTACGTCTTCTGGGGTGACCTTTTCCAACCTGGGTATAAAAATAAAAAGAACAAATCAGGTGGGTTTTTTTTTTGCAACCAGCGTGTTAAAGACTATTCTGCTCTTTTACTATTGCACCAAACTTTTGGAAGTGGGGCTCATGAAACCTCTTAGGAAAATTCAGCTTTCTTAAATTGTTTACAAAATATGAGTGTCTTGATGTTCACTGAAAAGATAGGACTTTAAAAAAAAAGTCCAAACACTAGTTTTTAGAAAAGTAAAAATGACTGGAATTTTCTGGAATTGAGGCCAGGTGGAATAGCCATATAAAACTTTGTGGATGTTATCTGAACAAGTGGCTGCAGCCAGTTTCAAAGCCACTTGACTCCACATAGGAAAGATTTCTCTATACTGGGCAACCTAGAAAAATCTAGTTTCCAAATGTCCACTTTAGGAGCAGAAATCAGGATCCTGAGTACTACAGAGACACAAAGACTTAACTTAACCCCTTTCAGACATGAAACTGTGCAACAGGTTTAGCCAATTTCTAACAATATGGGAAAGACACCATTTACTTATCTTGGGGTGTTCAGGGTCTGCAGGCGGTATTTTTTGCAACAAGCTTGAGGGGTCTTTTTGTTTTAAATCCATCTCATTGGAGTGTTTCTATCTAATCTGATGGGGATCCATCAGTTTTTAGTGCAGGTAGCCCACAACTTACAACTGTTCATGTAATGACCATTCAAAGTTACAACATCACTAAAAAAAGTGACCTACAACCATTTTTCACACTTACGACTGTTTGTATCATCCTCATGGCCAGTCACATCAATCAAAATTCACACAGTTGGGCAACTGGCTCAGATTTAGGATGGTCCCAGTGTCCTAGGATTATGTGATCCCGTTTTGTGACTTTCTGACCAGCAAAGCCAATGGGTAAACCATTCACTTAACAAACATGAAGCTAACAACTCCTGCCATGATTCACTTAACAACTGTGGCAAGAAAGGTCAAAAAAGAGGGGGGGGGCAAAACTCACTTAACAAAGGGCTCACTTGGCAACATACATTTTGGGCTCAATTGTGGTCGTACGTTGAAGACTACTCGTAATCAGATGGGTTCAAAATGCTTCTTGAGCCACAATAAAAAAAAAAAGCTCGGGAAACACAGATCAATCTATGTCATGCCCCTGTCGGAATCTGATTCGGAGGGGGAGGCTGAGCAGCTGACAGAGAGTGGGAATGTGGCTCCGTTGGCTATGGAAGAAATTGGGGAAGGGCAAAGGCCGGCTGGGCAGAGCAAGGGAGAGGTAGAGCAAGGGAGAGGGAATTCAGAGGAAGACCCAGACCTACACCCTCTCTTCATCCTAGGGCACGCAGGGAGGAACGGAGAAGGGAGCAATGTGAATTGAGTGGCTTACGGGGGAAGAAAGAGCCTTGATCCCCTTCATTAGCTGCAGTTGGGAACACAGTGTTTAAAAAAGGAAGCTGCACGCAGTGAGCTGTTGGGAGCCAATTGTGAGTTATCTGTTATTGTCGAGGCTTATCTGGGTTCCTAGCATCTTTCAAACACTTGTGTGTTTTGTTGGCCTTTGAAGTCTGCAATTCCTTATCCTGCCCTGTCCAGTTAATTGATGCAGCATGGTTTGTATGGATTTTTATTTACAATTAGTATGTACTTTGTTTTTGGGCTGAATTTCCTCCATTTAAAGACTGTTCTTGGGAGAGTTTTTTTCCCCAGCTGAAGGTAACTGGACATTGGGGGCAAAGTTGGAGGTATTAAAGGGACTTTTCTTACTTATGTAACTGTGCTGCCTTTGTGCCATGCCCCTTTGGGTCATCACAATCTAGGAATTCTCATTTTCCATATAGGAAGCCCAGAATTTTAATCCACATTCTTAGCAGGCTAGAAGAAAGAAAAGCCTACCAACTGTTGATGTCTTCTTCTTTCTTCTTGAAGTTCTCCAGCTTCTTAATGCCTTTCACTTTCTGCTGCTGCAAGGAGTCCTCACTTTCCCATGTGCTGTGGATGTATGACCAACCTTTCCATTTAACCAAGTACTGCACTTCCCCTTCCTCCTTTTCTGGATCAAAATCGGCACAGGGATCACCGTTGGCTTCCATTGAGTAGACAGTGGTGGAGGCCCCAGTGGCTGCCGAAAGAACAGAAGTGAAAGTAGGTCAAATTTTGCCAAATGGTCTTGGGCCCTTTGCCCCTATGGAGGGTTTCAATAAGTTTAGCTGCACTCACTTCTAAACAACTCTATTTCATTTCCCCCTACTAAAAAGTGGGCCAGCACTTAGCACTTCTTGAAAATGTTCTACTTTTGACGGTGAGAGTCGTGGTGGCACAGTGGTTAGAATGTGGAACTGCAGGCTATTTCTGCTGACTGCAGACTGCCAGCAGTTTGATTCTCACCGGTTCAAGGTTGACTCAGCCTTCCATCTTTCCTAGGGCTATAAAATGAGAAGCCAGACTGTTGGGGGGCAATTTGCTGATTCTGTAAACTGCTTAGAGAGGCCTGGAAAGCACTGTGAAGCGGTTTATAAGTCTAAGTGCTACCTGCTATTGCTTTTGCTCTCAGTTTTTGTTGCACTTCTCCAAGGCGCTGGGAGCTTTTCCAAATAGGCCTATCCCAGAACTAAAAATCCAGGTCCTTTTCAACCCTTAAAAGTCCTTTTCAAAGAATTGGCTTAAATGATCAATTGGGTGTCATGGTAAAGTCTACAGACCTAATGGCATTATTATACTGGCAAAGCTCTCCCACTCTACCCTCGATTTAGTCTGCACTCAGAGGTCTTTATAAAGTAAAAAATAAATAAATCAGTTTGCCTTGTTCAAGGGAACCTTCCCTTTTGCAATACAAAGCTAGCTTTACAAAGCCTTGCGTGCTATGATAAAGCAGTCATCCCTAAGACGAAATCTCCAAATATAATATGCCCCTAACTCACAAATTTTATAAGCTGTACCAATAAAGGCGAATATTTGTAGTTCAGAGCTGAAATGAGGGGTCCTTGGTGCTATCTGAGCTTGGTGGTTTTTCTTGCAGACATTTCATTAACATCATCAGTGCTGGGAGGGAGGCTTGTAGTGGAGGAGGAGGACAATGACTGTGAGGTCCTTGGTTCCCTCTGAGCTTGGCGGTTTCCTTGCAGACGTTTCCTTACCCCAATTGAGAAACACTCATTACTAGTTTGAGTAATGAAACGTCTACAAGAAAAGAACCAAGCTCAGAGAGCACCAAAGACCCGTTTGCAAGCTGTGTTTGCAGAGTCAAGCATTCTAGAAGCAAAGGTGTTATCGCTGGAAGGACCCAACTTGGAGAAAGCTGCTTTTAACTGGGTGCCTAGGACCATGGCTAGGAATAACTGAATCCGAGGAATATCTTCTTGCACTCACCTCCTTTCCTGCCTATTCTCCTCTCCAGCACTTTCTCAATGGTTTCGCTGTTATTTTGCTGCTCCTCCGCCCCTTCACCTGTCATCTCAATCAAGTCGTCTGAATCGGTCTCAAAGTCATCGTCTTCCTTGTAACTGTGTACAAGACCGTGCACAAGGACAGTTCAGGGTTATCCTTCTGCCGAATGGGTTCACCATGTAAATACGAGCGGGTTTTTCCCCCCCCCAACCGTTACAACCTCCAGATAGGTGGACTTCAAGATGTGTCACCAATAGCTATTCTAACACTGGAGTTCTGGGGTTTGAAGTCCACCCATCTGGAAATGGCTAAGACTGGGAAACAATAAGCCAAAGCAATGTTATTCACAAGATAGAAAAGAGACTTTAACATCTCCAAGCCTCTCTTTGCTCAAAGGCAAAATTCTTGATGGTAAGATGGCATAACGGTGGAATAGTCTAGCGAAGTTGTGGATTCAACTGAAAGTCAACAACAACTTCTCATGGATGGTTTAATTGGCTTTCCTGCCCACTGTAGAGGATTGGATTAGATCAGTATTTTTCAACCTTGGCAATTTAAAGATGAATGGACTTCGATTCTCAGAATTCTCCAGCCAGCTCCAGGACATTGCATAATCTGGGTGGACATACTAAGGTAAGCTATGGTTTGCTCATTGATGGCTTGGTAAATAAACCATAATGACATAGGCTCACATATTAATTTAAGGCATAATCAGGTTAGTTCATGTGATGTATGATGGCTGGGTTCTGACAAACAAACCACCCCGTGTTGGCTGAGGGTGTGTGAACCCAGCTTCTAGGTTTTTCTGCCACTACCTGACATTTTTGGCTGCTCGGCGCTTAGTTTGCCTTTTGGGAGTCTCATCCTCCTCCTCCTCCTCCTCTTCCTCTGATGATTCGGTTTTCCTCCGCCTCTTCGGCCGTTGCGGTTTGCTGCTCCTTTTTGGGATGGATTTGGTCACTGCTCTGAAATGAAACAACGATACAATAGTAGTAATAGTGGAAGTAGCAATAGCACTTAAGACTTAGATGCCGCTTTCTAGTGCTTTACAGCCCTCTCTAAGCGGTTTACAGAGTCAGCATCTTGCCCCCACCAATCTGGGTCCTCATTTTATCAACCTCGGAAAGATGGAGGCTTGAGCCAGTCAGCGTCAAACTGCTGGCAGTCAGCAGAATTAGCCTGCAATACTGCATTCTAACCTCTACACCACCACACCTCAATGGTTGTAATAGCAGTTGAGCATTCTTCAACACCAGACCAGGAAATCAGCACCACCAAAGAAGAAAATCAACACCATAGAAGGCTACTTATTATTATTAGGCTTCTTCTGTTCAGTCATGTCTGACTCTAGGGCAGGCTTGTCTAACGGGCGGTCCGTGGGCCGCATGCGGCCCAGGTCGGCTCATAATGCGGCCCAGTGCCCACCCCAACCTTCGTGCAAGAGGACGAGCCAGTGAGGAGGAGGAGAAGAGGCGGCGGAGCTGTTGTAGCGGCTTCTGCTGCTGCCGCCGCTGCTGCTGCACCGAGCCTCCTGGTCCTCGCCTTCCAGTCCTGCTGCATCCAGCCAGGCCATTTGCAGGAGGAGAGGTAGCGCGAGGCGGGCGAGCTTTCCCCCCCCCCCCCTGCGTTCCTTTCTCCCTGGTTGACTATTTTTTATGATATCTTATGAAAAAAATGTTTCCTATGGTTTTTCCTATGGATGATCAGGGATCGTTACTGTTATTTTATTTTATGTGCAGCCCAAACCAAATTTTCATCTTCTAATGTGGCCCAGGGAAGGTGAAAGGTTGGACAAGCCTGCTCTAGGGGGTGGTGCTCATCTCCATTTCTTAGCTGAGGGAGCCAGCATTGTCCACATTTCCATCATCACGTAGCCAGCATGGCTATATGCCAAAGGCGCACAGAATGCTGTCACTTTCCCACCGAAGTGGTACCTATTAATCTACGTGCATTTGCTTGCTTTCAAACTGCTAGGTTAGCAGGAGCTGGGCAAATAAGGGGAACTCACCCTGATGGTGCAGTGCTGGGGTCTCAAACCTGGGCTGTCAGCTTTCCAACTTTCCAATCACAGCATCTTTAACTGCTGAGCCGGTTATTGAGACTGGCTCTAATAACAGAATATTACAGGTCTGATGGTGCTGGACCCTCTCCTCCTCCTCATACTCCAGTGAATTCAGAAAGTCTACACCTCAGCCACTTCCAAATTCTATCTCCCCATTTTGTACTTTAAAAAAAAAAAAGTTTCCACCCTTTTTGCTAAGCAAGGATTCCTGCATATTTCAATTAAGGTCATCTTCTTTAACTCTTGCTCTCTGTCCTAGAAACTTTTGCCATTCTTCTGTCTTCCCACTAGGCAAAGCTTCCAACTTTGCACTCAGAATACTGACTCACAATGAAAGGATGGAAGGACAAGGTCTAGAGTGGGGAAAAATAAGAGGAACTGCAAGGAAGGCAGCGCCCGTTTTCTCACCTTCTTGAACTAAGTCTTCTGGACCTCACTTGCTTCACTTCTTGTTCACTCTCTCCACTGGAGCCTTGATCTTCAACATCATCTTCGTCATCATCCCTAGATCCCTCCCTTTTCCATTTACCTCTGTGTCTATAAAAGTTGATAAGGAACGTGTCATGACCATCATTATTATGCTCCACGATTATGGTTGCTTTTACATGCCAACTAATCCCACCCACCCCCCCAAAAAAACATAAGGAAGCTCTAGGTATGCAGAATATTCATCTAATGTTAAGACAATTAAGTTATTAACTAGGGCTGTGCAGAAATACATTCATAAAGAATGTCCAACCTCCTTAAAGTAGCTGCATCTTTCTTCGAGATGATGCGGCTGCCCTTTGTGGCAACCTGCGATTTCAAGGAAGGACAAGGCTGCTTTAAAGAGCTCCAAAGCACCATTCAGAAAGCCCCCACTTAGCTCTGTTATTATCAATGACATCTGTTCAACTAACAGTAACAAAAGCAACAAGTTCAACTACATACCCACAATCTGAGTTACTCAAAAGGCCCCCTAATTAATACTCCTGGCAATGGAATGTTCTTTTAAGTACAAAAAAGAACCATGAGGTCTCATAGCTAGGGTACCATTGTAGTTTCCACTAAGACTGAGGCTATTAGGAGAGGAGAGTCCATAAGCCACATCAGTCATCCGAGGAACTTCTCAACTTTGGCACCTTGAAGGAGTGTGGACTTCACAGGCTGGCTGGGAGTTTTCTGGAAGCTGAAATCCTTGTGTCCTGAAGCTACCAAGGTTGAGAAATGTTGGTCTAAAGTAGCCTGGTGATGGGGAAGTAGCCTTTAGCAGATGGAAGAGTTTTGTTTTCTTCCTAGGAAAGGAAATGCAGGGGGCTGGGCAAATATCCACTCTTCCCTCTCCATGGAAGAGTTCCAGAAAAGGAAGGAATATGTCCCTTTCTTGTACCAATCTATCAAGCATCTTGCCAGAAGACAAGAGGACAAACATCAGTATATATGTGTGCATGCAAGTGTGGTGTGTTTTATGCAGGTTTCTCTCTCTCTCTGTGTGAAATTTTACTACTAACCTGCCTTTCATGATTCAGGACCTGTATACTGCACAAGTCAAAAAGAGGACTGTGAAAATATCTACAGACCCCTCACATCCTGGACATAAATTGTTTCAACTCCTACCCTCAAAACGACGCTATAGGGCACTGCACACCAGAACAACTAGACACAAGGACAGTTTTTCCCCTGAATGCCATCACTCTGCTAAACAACTAACTCCCACAACACTGTCAAACTACTTAGTAAGACTGTATTGCTATTATTCTTCTCATCCTTCCTATTACCTATCTCTTCCCACTTATGACTATAACCATGTTGCTTGTATCTTTACAATTTATATTGCTTTATTCGTTCCCTAGTATGATTTGATTGCTTATTAGTAACCTATGACTAACAATAAGTATTGTATCTTATGATTCTTGATGAATGTATTTTTTCTTTATGTACACTGAGAGCTTCTGCACCAAAGAGAAATTCCTTGTATGTCCAATCACACTTGACCAATAAAGAATTCTATTCTATTCTGTTCTATAATAGGGTAAATTGTACAAATGCGCATTGGGAGAAGGACAAGAATTCTTCAAGTCAAACTCAACGAAGACTTCACAGAGGCCTCCAAGTAATTTTCTAGGCAGTGTCACAGAAGTAGCTCCCTGCCTCCCTTGTTTCTAGTTTTAATATCCCAGGCAAATGCATAATAACTTCGGCGTTTCGCGTTGGTTTCCCTTCTAAGGACACAAGGTCAGTCAAGTTCTGCTAATGTTGCCCCCTCCTGGAAGAGGAAGGGCAGACCATACAGTGTAGTCCTCAACTCACAACAGTCCATTTACTGACCCTTCCAAGGTTACAATGGCACTGAAAAAAGCAACTTCTGACCATTTTTCACATGACCGTTGAGTCATCCCCAAGGCCATGTCACCAAAATTCAGGCACTTGGCAACTGGTTCACCTTTGTAACAGTTGCATTGTCATGGGTCATGTGATCCCTTTTTGGGACCTTATGACAAGCAAAGTCAATGGGGAAGCTAGACTCACTTAATGACTGTGTTATTAGCTTAAGGGCTGCAGTGGTATTGTACCCTATGACTATCATTAAGTGTTGTACCTTATGATTCTTGACTCTTGTTGAATGTGTCGTTTCTTTTATGTACATTGAGAAAATTTGCACCAAGAGAAATTCCTTGTGTGTCCAATCACACTTGGCTAATAAAGAATTCTATTCTATTTTATAAGAATTCTATTCACTGAAGAAGCTTCTTGGATGAGAAGCAAAATATCTTAAAAAAAACAAAAACCCAGAAAGTCCAGTTGCCTTTTTTTTTTTTTAAAAAGAGCACCTTGGGGTCCTTCTATCCTCTGTTATTTCTTTATTCGTCTGATTTACAAGGATTTTTTTTTTGCATCTAACTCCTTTAGGGTGGCTTCCAGATTAACAGTGTACACAAAATTGACCTTTTTTATTTTTATAAACAGAACAGCAATCTTTTCCAGGATCTTTGTTTGAAATCCGGCAACCCCCACACAGCCAGTATGACCACTGATCAGGCTCTGAGATTACGGGATGTAGAAATTCACCTGGTGGGTTGAGGAAAGCTATTCTAACACTTTGAAAATACAACGTGCGGAATCCAGGATGGAGCTAACATTCCAAGCATCAACTACAGATAGTCCTCAACTTACAACCGTTCATTTAGTGACTGCTTGAAGTTACCACGGCACTGAAAAAAAGTGACTAAGTTTTTTTTCCCCCTACACACGTTTTACAGTCTCCCCTCGCTCAAGTGATCAAAATTTAGACACCCGGCACCAGTGGTGGTATTCTACTGGTTCGGCCCGGTTCTGGCGAGCAGGTAGCAGCGATGAGCAGCAGAGACCGAACCGGTTATCTCCACCGTTGTGCTGTTGGGCCCACCCACCCGCCTGGGCTCCCAGACTCACCTTTATCTACCAAATTTGAAGCGCAGCTGCTTTGCACGGCACAGAAGAGTGCGACGCGGCAGCTGCTGAAGTGACCGGGATCATGCAGGAAGCGAGTTAGAACGCCTCTGTGCCTGCACAAAGTGCATGTTTGGCGCACGTGTGCACACCAAGAGTGTGCACGTGTGCAAAGTGTCCCCACCAAGCCACGCCCCCCCCCAAACTGGTGGCAAAAATATTCGAATCCCACCACTTAACTGGTCCATATTTATGACAAGTTGCCGCGTCTCCCCGGGGTCACGCGATCCCCTTTTGCGGCCTTCTCACAAGCGAAGTCAACGGGGGAAGCCAGATTCCCTTAACAACCATTTTCACTAACTTAACTCTTGAGGTGATTCACTGTATCGCCGTGGTCATAAAGGGGGGGCGAAGCTCACTGAACGGCTGCCTCGCTGAGCAACGGAAATGTTGTAAGTTGAGGGTTACCCGTACAGACGTGAGAATCCTTTCAAACAATGGAAAACTAAATTTGTTGCAGAAACAAGGCAGCGTCCTCGTAACTTACATTTTTCTCACTTGCCTTGAGCTTCTTCGTTTGGGACTCTCACTTTCAGACTCGCTATGCCCCTTGAACGGAAACAGAGAAGGAGGGAGAGAGAGGGAAGGAGCAATAAGAGAGGCTGCTGGTTGATGGCTACATATTTTGCTCGCAAATATTCTTGATATCCATATGAGAGGTGTAGTGGCCTAGAGGTGGAGCTCTTGCCTCACAATCAGGAGACTGTGAGTTCGATCCTAGGTAGAGGAAGGCATTTCTCTCTCTGGGCGCAATGAGAATATATCTGACGAACAAAACTCCTCATTGGTGATAGGAAGGGCATCCAGCCAATAAACAATCAGCTCCATCGAGACTCCACCCCACAAGGAAGTTCATTAAAAGATGATGATACTTGGCATCCATAAAGGGTATTGGGTGTGCCCCAGACTTAAAACCAACACAATCCATAGGGAAACATTTGCTACCACACAGTAAATAAACAGGCAACACCCTTTTTGCCCCACAATCCCAGCAGTTCTGTGGTGCTGCGTTTTGTTTTGCTTGGTTGTTTTTTTTTTTAAAGAACTCTTGTTACATCGTGAACACAAGTGGGCAAAGGTACTTGAAAAAGAAATCCAAACTGAAGGCCAAGAGTATCAAAGAACTGCCCCAAAAAGAAGGAAGAGGACCAGAAGTCACCACCGCCAGCAGCCACACACCCAAGGCTCCCTCTTAAGGGGAGGATCAGTAATGTGGGGTCCTTGGTGCACTGGTGATGTTACCTAGTTTGGTAATGAAACGTCTGCAAGAAAACAACCAAGCTCAGAGAGCACCAAGGACCCCACGGTTCAACCCTGAGCTACAAATATTCTCTTCTGTCAGTTCAGGTGACTTCCATACCTGGCTTTCAAAGGCACATCATGAGACATATTCCAAAAATTATGAAAGATCAGGAACAACAACAAAAAAAATGGGGAAGGGCTGAATGAACCCTTTTAAAATTTCATTTCAATTTCATATCATGCAATTTCAATTTCATACTTTTAAAATATTTTTTGCTTTGTTTGTTTTTTGATTGAATGTAATTGGTAAGCCACTGAGTCTCTCAATTGCAGTGGGTGCAAAAAGGAAAAAAAGAGAAAGAGGAGAAGGGGAAGGAAGCCCTTAAAAGACATCTCCTAATTTTTATACAAAATGACTCTTATGCTTACATAGATTCATTAAATCTTCTTAAACAATTAAACTATTAACACATCTTTCTGTTCACTCAATAGTTAGGAAAAAGACAAACTATACACAACAGCTAAATGCCCATAAATCTGGATAACCTTGTCTCTAAGTAATAAATTGCCCTATTGATAAGACAGCTTGTTTAGTGCAAAAAACGGGTGCTCAGAGGCCTGAATGTCAAGAGTGGGATTTGCATAACAACATGAACGTAACCATTCTCACAGGTAACAGGGTAAAACAGATTCCAAAGATAGACTACTGGTGCTAGACAAAGAAAAATCCGCCACAAAATCTGCTTGAGACTGACAAAAACACACTTGGAAATGGAATCATCAGCAGTTTTCTTTCCTTGTGAGAACAGGGCAACATTATTTAAATTATAGTTGACAAGAGAATTAAGAAAATGAGCTGCTGTGTTAGATGCAGGAATCCAAATATATTAGAAACAGGTGAAGAGGATAAGAAGATCTTTGCAGTCAGCAGCTGGACACACCTGTCTCTTTCCAGGATCTTTATGAAACTTTGAAGATTAAAGTGTGTCTCTTGCAAATTTCGAAAATCATCCCCAATTCTTAATGTGCATCCAAACTCTAGAACAGTAATTGGCTCTCCATATCTGAAGAGCTCACTCAAGCACTCTTCTTCTGATCCTTTCCTAAATTGTTACAAGACTCCCTGTCACAAAGCCTCTGCATTTCACTGGCCCATCCTCCACCAATCTAGATGTCACACCTTCCACAGATCCAGATGAGAGCTTCATTAGAGGAGCCAGATGCTGGCATGGAATTATGGGGGCTCATGGTACCCCTTCTGTAGCTATACAAAAGCTTTGCCTCTCTGGTGCCCACAAGCTTTGAAGAGGACCTCATTCTGTCCTCCTGGCCATCAGCCTCTCTTGTCCTTCAGGGGTAGAAAAACACAGTGCAAGGCACTCATACACCAAGCGTAGCCATAATGTGGTTTGTTATTTATCAGCTTGGGGAAATACAAATCCATAACAAGAAAGAAATCATGTTATGTGTAACGTTTGCACATCATGCTATTCCAGGACTGAGGAATTTGCCCCCAAACCTTCCTTCATCCTACCATGGAGGTCATCTTCTGCACATTTTCCTCCACCAAGGAAAGCATCCAAAGAATGAATCCAATTTTCTTGGACTGGTGGGCTTCTTCCTGTTTTTGTTTTTTAACTGCAAGTTCAGCTTCCTATTCTGTCCCTTACTGGAGAAATCCCATCAAAATAAAATTTTCCAGAAGCTTGCATACATCTTCTCCAACTGGGAAGCTACAACCTTGTTCTTGGATTGAGAATTATGTATGTCTCTTGATGCAGTGAGAAGAACCCTGAAGCAACTCAAACTTAGGAGCAGAAAAGCTCTTGTGGTGATTGATCCTCCTTCAATTCTCACTTTTTGATATTGTCTGGTTCCCCAGTCCAGTTCCCTACCCTGCAATAACCCCAAACACACAAACCAGAATATAGATATTGTGTGATCACAGATAGTGGAAGAAGCACCATGGCAGTTTTAGTGCACTTGATGAAGTTTTCTGGAGAGCCTTCAGGCCCTTCTAGACAATCTTTGCTAGGCTTCGCTTATCCAAACATTCACACCAGCATAAGCCAACAATCCAAAGACAAACCTCAACAAAGAGTTCAATCTTAAACTGTGGTTTAAGATGTTGACTTCTTTGCCCTTTTAACATCACATTGTCTGCAGTGAAGTTGAGGAAATGGTCTCTTTGTACTCTCAACCTCGTCACAGTGGAACAGAGATATACTTCATAGTTTTTTTTAAATTTATGTAGCACTTTTTTGCACAATCCTGCCACAACGTTTTTTATCCTCAAAGCCACATCAGACAAGATAGCAGGAGCTTCTTTGCAAGGTGGAATCATAAGGTGGAAAAGTAAATAGAAAGGAGTAATTTTGGATACTCATCTGGAGGGAATTTAAGGGACCTCTTCTTTTTTCCTAGAATACCTGTGTGAGGTGCTGCAGTTATATATATTTGAAAATACATCCACCAGTGGAAAAATATTGCCCAGTAGTCCACTATTAAACAATTGTTGAGGATTCCTAGAAGCACCCTCATTAGATTCCTTAAATAGCCAAAGCAGCATCTACAGACTACAATTTGCATGAGTAAGATCCCATTAATTAAAGCAGACCTCACTGCTGAAGTGAAGGTTGTGCACTGTTCCTTTTTCCATCAGAGTAATCAATCCTTTTCTTTTCAGGGGGAAATATTTTTTTTATTTTTACATTATTGTGTGGTATTGCAATGTATGCTGTGAACCATACAAATTGTTTTCTTTCACATAAGGTACATATAAAGCCCCACGCCTGTTGCATTGCCAACAGAAACATCTAGCAGGCAGCAAATCCAATGTTTGCAAAAACCACATAATATTGTAAAACAAAAAAATTGGAAAGGATTTATCTGAGCCCCTAATGGGGGCTCTTGTCTTCAGCGGAGATCGGGGTGGGTGGGTGTGACATCACCAGCCCAGTGCATGCTGGGCCATTGTGACAGAGAAAAGAGGGCCATTGAGATTTTGCAGAGCTTGGAAAAAGGAAAACAAAACCCTGTTGTATAATGAGAAAAGAATTCATGGCCCCTTGGATCTGAGTCTTCAGGGGAGTTTTGGTTGGGAGGGGGAAAGAATAGGGACAAGGTAGCCCAGATGGAGCTCTGACCAAATAGTAGACATGGAGGAGAGAGTTGGCTCCACTTTTTCTTTTCCATCTCTGGGAAGATTGGAAGATGAAAGAGACCACGGGCAATACCACTGTTCAAGATGGAAGATCGCACAGGATCGTGGGGGAGAAGAGAATAACCAGAGAGAGAATGGAAGGCAGAGCTGGCCTGAGTAACACAGCTGGCAGGCACGTCCCTTACGCCAGGTTGCTTTGAGAATAAAGAAGTAGATTAAAGGCTGCCCTAAACTAAGACAAGTCTCTGTTTCTGTAGTATCTCAGATAACCTCACAAGAACTTTCCTTCGATTACTTCAGTATCCATACAGTGGCACCCACACAGGCCTGGGATCCAGAAGTGTTTGTTAAAAAAACATAACCGTCCCTTAAGCGCCGGTTTCCCAAAGGAAAAAAACAGAATAGTAATAACTATAATAATGACAACAAGGATTTAAAAACCTCTGAAGATTTCTGCTTTGTAATTTTTTTCAGTGTGGTGAATCCAACCTGACCGAAGAGTTTAATTTGAAGACAAGATGGGAAGGGCCAAGAGAATCATTATTTCTGATGCAAAATGTTCAAATCTGGGTGCCTTCTGCTAGGCACCTAAATCCATATATAGGCACCCAAGCATAAATGGACCCATTTTTAGAGGACTCCTTAATGGGAGGAGAGGGTGCCGCTTATTTTGCAGGTGCTCGAATATAAATTTAGGTGCCTACCTTTGGACTTCCAACTTTGACATTTTCAGTCTGATTCTGAACTTTCCTGAGCCTCATTTTCTCCATCTGTAAAAAACAGAAGGGAAAACTTGCTTACTTGCTTTGGACATCGGTCGGAGGTGGGAAATATGCACACAAATGGGAAAAAAAAGAAAGAAAGAAAGAAGAAAAAAATGCAGGAGAATCAGTCACTCACAAAAACGGCAAAGAAAAGGTGGCCAGTTCCATAACCACACTGCCCGTAATACGGTTTTGGATGGAAGTGAAGAAAAGAAATGGGTTTTGATGTCTCAGCCATCAGATGAAAACAAAAATTAACCCCCTGAACTCATCTCATGCATGGATTTCAAGAAAGGATCACATCTATAATATAAAAAAGGAGGCAAAAAGGTTTAATACAAAGGAACAACACAATATATCTATAAACACGCACAGTTTTATCATGCACGCTTTTTAATCATGCCATCTTTCCAGAGTCTCAAAGCAGGGCTGTTTCTGCAACATCTCCTTGTTATCTCGCCAGGGTCTGATTGTCCTAAGACTTCAATGGGGATCATATCATTTCCCATTTGGACACATGGAAGGTCCGATGGGCACCTTTTGACCTGGCTTCAGTCGCAGGAACAGCGCTTCAGGACTGCGAAATGGGAACATCAAATAACCACCGAATAACTGGGCTCTTTCATTCCAAGGATGGCTTTTGCTCTTTATGGGCTTCCTCAACCCTTACCTCGTCATTTATAGTAAAACGCGAAGGCTCCTGTCTGCTACGGTTGGATCGTCTCACCCCATAAACATCGGGATACTCTTCCCACATCTGCAAAATAAATCAAGCTGTCTGTCAGGGATCCAAGTAACATACCCATACCAAGCAAAACTCTTGAGGCAAGTATATTCCTCAAAGAATAAGTTTATTGGATATATCATATTGGCCCAGGCTGGTGAAAACCGACCCTGAATATTCCTGTGGTTTTCACCTAATTAAAAGTGTTTTTTTTTCCACTTTCTCAAAACAATCAGTCACATGGTCCAATCAGGATGCTGTTCAGTTGCTACATGACTCCAGTTCCTTCTTTCCGAGCACCTGGAGAAATGGCCTTGGTTCCCAAGAGAAAGTATTTTGTTTTGACTACAGCACTCCAACTATCTATATTCCCCGCTCCCCATCCCTCTTCTCCAGTGTGTCAGCACTAAAGTCTCAAAATGGCTTCAGTCAGGCCAGCTTCGGGGTTGAGACTGGCATTTGTGTTCCAATAAGAGATACGAAGGGCACTCAGAAGAAAACCATCTATTATATTCTCCTGGAAGACTCCAGTGATATAGGTTGGACTACTTGATTGAACAAGTTGGATGTCAGGTGCAAAGGATGGGGACCACCTGTTAAGTTGCAGCACAGATGATTTATTTAAGCCTGTAAACAAGGATCTAGACTAAATTGTTCAACACTAAATTGGCGACAGATCAATAGAATTCAGGAGGGGTTGAACTTGGACCATTTGTGGGAATGTGATGATTCTAATCTGATGACGTGCTTAACTGCATCCCATAGTTCTGCCTGCTCTTCTCCTAAATTATACCTTTCTTGGGACATTGAGATAGAAGTCATAATGCTTTAAACCAACACTCAAAACATTATTTTTGGAAGACACACAAGTCCCAATCGAGCAAAATTATCACCCCTTTCACCCCTCAAACTTTCCAATCTCCCACGTTATCCCCACTTTTAGCAAGGCATTGCCGTACTTTTTTGACATCAGCTATCCTTTCTTTCTTGGATGCTGGTTTCTCCTTAGCTTCCGGAGGGGTCTGCCGAGACTTGGATGCTGTGGACCCGCTCTCTGATTCGGATTGACTTCCCGAAGACTCGGAGCTGCTGTTGGTTTCACTTCCATGATCACTGCCTTGCTCGCTGTCTGACTGGCTCCCTGAGTCGGAACCCGAGCCCTCTTCAGACGCTGAGTGACTGTAGAGAACAATAGCGAGATTTTCTTTACCCTCAAATATAGCAGGTTATCTTTTGAACTCCCCCGAAAATATGGTATGATCTTATTATTTCTCTCTAGCAATACATCTGCACAACTATGTGGACTTCATTATCTTGGTCAACATGCTTCCATCATGACATTTATTATTAATTTGTTTTATTTATGTAGAAAATTTATATTGCCGCCTACCTGCACATGGCAACTCAAGCTGGCTTACCGGACACATCCATCTAGCTTTGAGGGATCTGCTTCAAGCTTTCCCTGATTCAGAGGAAGTTAATTGTCCTGAAAATTACAGCTTATCTTTTTGGGGGGGATTGGAGAAGAGGAGGAGACTCAGGAAAGCTCATCTATCTATAGGCTGAGCCATTTTAGAGCTTTCAAACGTGCTCATTCATTGACATCCTTCAGTCTCAAGAGACAATGTTATCGTGCTTTGAAAAGAGGTCCTAAAACAGCATCTAGTGTGGCTAAAAAGGCCAATACGAGAGTGGGAATCCCTTCCACACTGAGGACAGATACAGTCTGTCTCCTGTCCAGTCCCCAGATTTTGCTGGTTCTGGGACTGCCTCTTTGTCTCAACCTGCTGAACGAGTGTCTCTTCAAACTGAAGAAGGCCACGCTGTGTCTTTAGCCTCCAAGCTGAATGGTCAGAGGTCAAGGTTTCCCAGCTGCTAATGTTCCCAAGGCCTTTAGATCCCTCTTGCAGATATCCTTATGTCGTAGCTGTGGTCTCCCTCTACGGCACTTTCCCTGCACTAATTCTCCATACAGGTGGTCTTTCGGAATTTGACCAATGTGCTATGTTTACACTATATGTTAACACACAGAGATGTGCAGAAACACACCCATAGATCCACTTCTTGGATGAATTATGATATAAGCAGTTGATTTTTCTGGAAGAACCTGTCTGGTCAAGTCTAATAACCACAGAATCTAGGGAAGCAGAAGTCAGAGTTTTTGATATTCCAGGATCTCTGTAGTCATAAGGTTTTGTAGGAAGAGGCCAAGTTCCTGGAAGATCTGCCATCCATAGAGTCATCTCAGTGTAAAAGACAGAAACTGGGTCCATACAATGTACTAGAGATTCAGCAATATTGTCATAAGTCTGTTGCGTGAATCAAATCACGTTACTATTATATAATTTATTTCTTTGGACACTTCAAGTCAAGTGAATGCAGCAATTAAGTTTTTTCACCCCAAAGTTTTATTGAGTAAATTATTAAAATATTGGACATGGTGTGATCATCCTGAAAATCCTGTTTGTCATACATATTATGGCATAGAATACATGTTTTATATACATTTATACAATATTTTCTATTTCTAATCATCTGTTCTGCCATACCTATTCTCTTTTGATTCTAGGTCCTTCCTTTTTTCCCACCATTGATAGAATTTATCCCAAACTTTATAGTATTCTTTCTCATCTTTGTCTTTCATTTCCAAAGTTAATTTATCCATCTCAGCACATGTCCATATCTTTTTTATTACTTCACTTTCATTGGGGATTCCTCTATCTTTCTACTTTTAAGCAAAGGCTAACCTTGCTGCTGTTATCACATATATTATTAAATAAATATCCTCTTTATTATACAGCAATTAAGTTTTGTTAAGCTGGGTTTCATGTGTTGTGAGAAGATCCTGCAGCTTCTGCAATGAAAAGCCCATAAGATTGCAGGGTTTACTAAAAAGGACCATCCAACCATAGCAATTGCCTTTGCCACTCCACCTCAGATGATGTGCATCATTTCACTAACTTCATTGTCAATTCTAAGGCTGGCTGCTGGACCGTTTCACAATAGTCTGGTTTTATTCAGTTTTAGTCCATTTTTTCCCATAGTGCTCCTTGCCATTCATCACTAGAGCTCATGGATCATTTACATTTTTAGCAAACAAGGTGCTGCTGTCAACCACATAGCAGAGAGTGATGCTTCTTCCTCCAATTTTAAAACCACATTTAAAGTGCATTATAAAAGAGCCTGGTCTAAATGTTACTCGATGCAAAACAATAGCAATAAAAGCTCAAAGGCTCAAATAAAAGCTCAAAGGCTAAGCCACTGGAGATACATCAGCAATACCAATGTATAGGAAGGGCCAAATTTATAGGTATGGATTAAGCCAGGCCGTTTCTTACAGCTATTAAAAGCCATTTTTCTCTTGCCTCAAGTAGAGGTCACCAGGAAAAGAATCTCATAAAATCCCTTTAAAAATATATATATATTCCTACCACTGAATTAATTGACTCATCCTATATATATATATATATAGGATGAGTCAATTAATTCAGTGGTAGGAACTGAGCTGAAGATTTTTTTTTTTAAAAAAAGAAACTCTTCCAGGTTTTATTTTGTGGTAAAAAGTCAATAATTCCAGAAGCAGATCCCTGAGCCGAGCACATGACACAATCATTTGGCATCTCTTGCAGTGCGTTAGAGCCTTTATTTTACTTTAAAAGATGTGAAAAGCAAAACATGGAAAAAGCAACAGGGTGAAATTAAAATGCATTTCTTTAGGAAACTGGCAGAGGGCAGCAAGAAAGCAGGAAAGAGCAAGCTTTGGGCATGCAGTCGGAAGCCATTTTGAAAACATGATCTGTGACTAAGCCACCATTTTACGCCTCTCCCTGCATTGCTCTCTCTTGAGCAATTCCAAATAGAAGAATAAAGTCATTGCTAAAAGCACCGTGATGAAGAAGTAGTTTGAAAAATGCTGGGGCTTAAAAATAAAAGGGTTACACAAACAGAGCGAAGGTCTAACCTTTCTTTTCCTTGTTCTGGGAAAAAGAAAAAAAGCATCTATTTAGGATTCAGACACTCGAATGAACAATAAAACAAAACAAAGCAAATCAAAACAAAAATCCACCCAGGTTTTAAACTTTCTTGAGGGGAAATTAAATTATAACTAAATCGAGCTGAATAAAGTTTACCTGTTCTGCCTCTAGGTATTTTAAGTGGTGTCAGAATAGAATTGGAAGGGAGCTTGGAGGTCTTTTATTCCAACGCTCCCCCCTGCTCAGGGAGGAGATCCTATAAACAATTTTATTTGAGACAAGTGTCTAGTCTCTTAAAAACCTCCAGTGATGAAGCACCTAAAATGTCCGAAGGCAAAAATGACAAGCTTAGTTCTTTACTTTTAGGAGATTTTCTGTGCTAATTCAAGGCAGAACAGAACAAAGCAGCAGAACGGACTGGAAAAGAGGAAATTAGTAGTTAGGAGCAGAAGGTTGGTCTTGCTGAACCCACTTAAAACATTTTCCTAATGGAGGCAGGTTTGAGTCCTTAGGGAATTCTATCCCTCGGCACCGTCAAGCTTCACGTAAGCCCGGCTGTTCATGCTTTCTCTCAGATCATACATGGCAGCGATGTCAAACTCAAGGCTGCAGGGTTGGATGCGACCCATGGGCTGCTTAGATCTGGTCGGCGGGGCCGGCCTGGAAATATCAAAGGACTGCCCATGGTGCCTCTGCTGGCCAAAACAGGCCGGGGGGGTGGGGGGACACTTGCTTTTGGCTTCCTCCTGCAGCACTCTGCTGCCAAAATTATTTTTAGGATTCATTTATTGGCCGGCGTAGTGCTGCAGGAGGCAGCACCTTCTTCATCTTCTCTTTAGCAGCATCTGCCAACTAAAACTAGGTATCCTCCAAGATCTGGGTGTTCAGAAGAGGCAAAAACATCTGGCTCTCCACCCAGGTCTTTGACGAGAGAGAGCGTGAGCCCCCGTGTATCACTGAATTTCTCGTCTTTTATCTTAACTTGTGATTGATTTAATTGTCTTTTTTTATTGTTGTGAGCCACCCATTGATAATTGGGTGGTATATCAATTTTGTAAATTATCAGTACGATAATATTGAGTCCTCCTCTAGGGCTGTGTCAAGAGGTTGTAACAAAAGATGGATAGACTGTTAGAGAGTTTTTAAGAGACATCTGGAGAAATTGTCAGTTCCTTTATGTTCTTCTCCTATACAAAGAGTCAAGCCCCATAGCAGCTGCTGGGTCTACATGTCTTTAATCTGTACATTATGGAATTGAGACTATTTGTGCCAGGAAGTACATCTCCCTTTGCCTGGAATAGCTGTTTTGAATGCAAAGGCGGAAAATGCACCTTGAGCCCATCTGTGGCCATGCCCACCGCCCCTCCCCCGAGGTCAAACACATCTCTGATATGGCCCTCAATGAAATCACGTTTTGACACCCCTGATATATGGAATTATACCCAAGGATAAGAGAGAGGAAGGCTTCACACAACATGCTAAAGTGGCATATCTGGGACTATTTATTGAAATTATTTTATTCGATTTGGATGCTGCCCAGTTCTTCATATTGTCCAAGTCAATGTTCTGAGCTTAGGGTTCAAAGTATTTGTCAATCTAAATAATTGGACTTATTCCATGAACTGTAGTTTAACTATGGATTAGTGGGCTTTATGAAACAAGTAGACACAAAAGCTAGCTGTCTATTTGATTCCAGGCGCAAACTCTAAACACAGAAGAACGTGGCTCATTTAACATCTACATATCAATTTTTTGTCACTAAGGGTCTTCTTTAAATTTTTCCTTGGAAAGAAACTTATGTTGTCAAGTGAGAAATGTGTGCGCTTTGGCCTATTTCACAACTTTTCTTGCCACACATTTCAGTGGTGGGATTCAAAAAATTTCACTACTGGTTCTGTGGCCGTGGCTTGGTGGGTGTGAAGGGGAAGGATACTGCAAAATCTCTATTCCCTTCCCTTCCCACCCCACTAACCTGCTTTCCAGCTCCGTTCTCCTGCGCAGAGCAACAAAAGGAGACCCAGCCGATCAGCTGGGACTCAATGGGAGGCAGAGAAGAGATGGGGTTGGTGGGGCCAGTCAGAGGTGGGATTTACCAGTTCTCCAAACTACTCAAAATTTCCGCTACTGGTTCTCCAGAACTGGTCAGAACCGGCTGAATTCACCGCTAAGTGAATTGCTGCAATTGTTCAATTAGTAACACCATTG